TCTTACTTTGTTATAGTGTATGAGAATTTCCCAGACTTCCATCTGTCCTTCGACAAACACTCACTGGTACTTCCAAGCTCAGGTGTGACAACTAGCTCCGGTTGGCATGGCGATTGTCTGACTTTCAGTGGAAATGTCTCTTCCCAGTTTGAAGGTTATTTATATCAGGATTGCTTGGTTGCCCCTGCTTTTTGTTGGGAAGGATTTACCCTATCTCTGTGGCTATATCCAACAACAGATACACTAAACCAGGGAATCTTGTCAGCTAGGCGGGACTACAGAGGCTTGGCCATGGCTTACTATCTATCATATGAAGGACTGGCAAACCATTACTGGTTCATTGTACAAGAGAATAACATAGCATACAACATACCATTCCAACTCTACAGTCAGGTGTGGTCTAATATCATCCTTACCTGGTATAGAAATGGCAGTATCATACTACATGTAAATGGTGTAGATCAGAGTCAGTCTGTGTCAACAAATGATGTAACCACTGGCAACCCACCCCAGCCAACAACCTTGACCCTTGGTGGTATCTCTGGTTACAATGATATAAATGCTGATGGATTTCAGGGAGCTATAGATGAATTCTGGTTTCGGCCACGACCATTGAATAGCAGCAGTATGCTGGAACTTTACAGTAAGCATGGACAACATATGATAGGTTTTATAAACATAGTGCACAGATCTGTAATATTTTCCAAATGCTTTTTAAACTGTCTTTTGAGTTTAAATCAGAAGTTGCCATTTGTGTACAAACTTACCAGGTATGTGAACAATATGGTTTTATATGTATTACTGTGTTGCATAATACTAATAAAAAATTATATTTATTATGTAAATCAATTGAAGATCTTATGCAGTTGCTGAAAATTAAAGCACTTTTGATGTTGCAGAAAATTCTACATACGTACGCACAAAGTTTGTAGAAAGTTTTGAAACATCGCCATCTCCTGAGGATGGCCGAGCGACTCCTGTAGAGGCTGTGTACATGAATGGCTCCAGTCTGGTGTCTGGTGTAGACTGGGTCAATCTGACCACCAAACTGGCAAACCAGTCTACCTGTGTCCTTGACATTGACAGGTGTGAGCACGGCTTCACCATTAGTCTGTATCTACAGATGTCACTAGAGAATGATACTGATCAGGTGATCTTCACCACCGGAGGTCATGACCCTCATGGCCTGGGCATTGCCCTCCTCTACACAGCCATGAACAAAAGTCTACCGTTTAGGCGCTACTTTGAAGTGACTATACTGCAGACCTCCATGGAGTATAGAACTTGGTTTAACTTGCAGTGGTGGACGTGGAATTTGGTTACTCTAACTTTCCACCCGATGTTTGGTGTCAAAGTCTATGTAGATGATGTCTTGTCATCTATGAGTGATACAGGAACTGTGAGGTCTACTGCTCCGACCACAACCACCCAGCACCTAATGTTTGGTGACACTCCGTCTCAAGCTGCAGTGATGGGTAGATTTGCTGTGGACGAGTTTCAAATATTGGACAGGGCAAAGTTTGATGGTAAGTTCATAAAACGAAGAAAATATGAGATTTAAACTTTATTATACTTTACCTAACTTTTTATCTAGGTCAATTAATGACCAATGGAGTCCTTTGATTCGTTGTCATGCACCATCTGCCTCGCGTTAACTTTTTACGTTTTAAACTTTTCAAGTTCTACTGTGGGATTGAGCTTGAATGAAATGATTCTGAGCTGATCCTGACCAAATTTTGTTATTTTTTGGATTGATCCAAAATCCAAGATGGCCGTCGTGGCCATTATTTTGAAAAGCACATTTTTAAGTTCTGCAGTTCCCCTGATGCCATTGAGCTGAAATTTTGGAATGTTGAGAAACTGAATCGAAAAGAGTTTTTTGCCATTACTGCTAAAGTATTCTGAACTGTTTTACTTAATTTATAATTGTTCCCACAACTGCTACTGCTGTTACCAGCATATAATATATATGTCTTTATAGTCAGATGACTATTAATGCCCATGGACCTCTTGTTTGTTTTTTTTGTAGGTTTTTTTTTTGTGGCTCATTCACCTTCAGAGGCTCTATCTATACAAACTAAACTGATTAATACAATTTTTGTTATAGCCCTTAAGTGACATTTTCAAAATAAATTTATTATAAGACGTGATTTTCCTAATATTGTAGTTGTTATTTTCTAACCTTATAAGTATGGTAACATCAACTTGTACAACTCATTCAATTCTTGCTTTGATGTGTCATGGCCAGAGGGGAAAAGGTCACATTTCATCATTATTAAAATTTCTATATTATACCTTTATATGTTAACCTGCTCCTTTGTTTTGACCGTCCCATCAGGTGACCTATGGATGCAGTATGTGCACACTGACCTCCAGGATGATGGCTGGACAATGTGGGAAGATGTGACCAGGGATGAATGCCACCACATCTGTGACAATGACACCTGTTCTGTGTTTGGTTTCTGTGATGATAGAGCATTTGGTTCCTGTATGGTGTATCATGCCAACATCACTAGCAACTTCTCCGAGAATGACATTCATCATCACCCCAGCTGTGACCTGTTTACAAAAATCATAACACCTATTAAAGGTAATACGAATGACACCATCACCCCAGCTGTGACCTATTTACAAAAATCATGACACCAATTACAGGTAATATGAATGACACCATCACCCCAGCTGTGACCTATTTACAAAAATCATGACACCATTACAGTTTGACAGTTTAAAACATTAACTGTTTGTTTTGTAATAACATAATGATTTTACTGTAGATCAGTTCATTTGTCTTTTCAGTTCAGAAGTATGGCTGTTTTCCCACATCAGTTGAGAGTGACCTTCTGCAGTTATTGGGGCCTGGTGACATCACTTCCTGTATACAGGCCTGTCAGGACAGTGTTACAGATGTGAGGTTTGCAGGCTTCCATCTTCAGTGTTACTGTGGTCTAGAGACAGCTCCGTTAACAATCACACACAATGACTATGAAGTCAACCCTGTGTGTGGTTACAATGATTTCCTCATCTACCAGCTGAGTGGTCTTCGTGACTTTCTAAATGTTACTGTCCCAGTTACATTGCTGGACATTACTTTAGACCCTGGCATGGCAGTCTTAGTTGACCAGGTTCTATCTGTTACCATGGTTGCAGGTACGGAGCTTGCATTTGCAGGTTTCAGTATCAATGGAGGAGATGGCCGTGACACGTACTACACCGGCCGTAATTACACAACACTTGTTTATCCTAACGGAGGCTTGTATACTCTGCAGATAGAAGCCCTGAATGAAATCAGCTGGAAAAAGGTTTTAGTTCCCATCTATGTACTGACCTCTTTAGAAGGTGTAGAAATATACTCGGACAATGTTACAGCCACTGACACCTTACTCAACATTACAGTGAAAGTTTTAGGTGGAAATTTTGTGACCTGTACACTACAGTATGGTGATGGATCTCAGAACAGTGTTTACCATGAGAACACGTCAGAACCATTCCAGTTCAGTCACATTTACTCTCAAGAGAATACGAATCTGTTAAATGTGTCCTGTACTAACAACGCCTCTGTGGCTGGGACTTCTAAAACCCTGATCAGTTTACACCCTATAGTGAACCTCACCCTTCTCTCTCCTCAGTGTTACCAGTATGGTGATGTTATCAACATCACTTGGCTTGCTGACAAAGGATCCAATACCTCAGTCAATCTCTACTACAAAAACCTAACACTTTTAAATGAGGAATATGCTTCTCTGAGTATCCCACAGAGTTTGTTTGTGAATCAGTCTGTCTACCAAACAACTGGAATACATACCTTCAACTTGACTGCCTCAAATATTGTGTCAATGGTTCTTCATCAAGCTACATCTGTAAACATAGGATCAGAACTTCTCTTCCTTACACTCAATACCTCAAAGCAATTTGTTAAAGTTGGTGAAATTTTTTCTTGTGATCTGAGTGCACTCAATATTTCCATAGCTGATGTCTTCATTAACTTTGATGATGGAACAGTTGATCATTTTGTGGTGTACCACCTTTTAGATTACAAGTACTCTGTAGCACACTCGTTCTCATCCAGTGGAAGTTTCCTGATCAAGACCAATGCTTCTAACTGCTTGAATTCTGTGTCTAATTCATCCATGGTTATTGCTGAGCATCCTGTTGATGTACTGTCTGTGTCTATCATCACTGTGGCTGACCCATTTCATCTTGTTAAAGTCAATCTGACGTTGGTCAATGTTTCCCACCCTACAGATGCTGTATGTGATATCTATTTTGGTGATGGTGCTTCCGATACATTTGACCCTCTCATTCTGGTTGATGGATACATAAACACAATGCACAATTACACTGTAAATGGATTTTTCACAATCTCCATCTTCTGTCATAACAATGTCAGCAGTTTCTTGTACAATGAGACAGTTCAGGTTGGAAGTGAAATAGAAAAGCTGTCTGTAGATGCTGCCAGTTATCTCCCCCTAGGTATGATCTCCACCATTACTACTGATATAGATGCTGGATCACTGGTTTTCTACTCCATTGATTTTGGTGATGGAAGCCCACTATACAATACTACCACACCTGTCACCTACCCAAATGGCAAGGTGAACATCACCCATGTTTACACCCAGATATCAGTGTACACTCTGATAGTGACAGCTACCAACTCATTTGGAACAGTCATCAACAACACTGAAACAATATCAATCATGGAAGAAACCAGAGGACTCATCTTATATGGGGACAGAATAAGTAAAATCAGCTGGCCTGTAGAATTTACCATTAGATTTTTAACCGTTGGCACCAACACATGTATTCACTTCAGTCCTGGTGACGGGAGTAACTATGTATTTGGAGGTGCCAACTGTCCATTAAAGCCAAAATACAGTGGTTTCATTTTCACAGCCTCTTCAGGAAACTCTTTGTCTATCACTCATTCCTACAGCCTAGCTGATACTTACACTGTTACTGTAGAAGCTGAAAATGAAGTGTCTCTTGAGCATGCTCAGATGTCTGTTGTCATTCTAGAATTTCCTTGTACTTTCCCGAAGGTAACCATATTGGGATTTTCCAGTAATAGTTCCAAACCTAGTAACACTTATCCCTCGGTGGCGCTCAGGTTGCGGGCGTTGGCAGATACCTACTGCATGCCAATTCAGCATGTTGTGTTTTTGTGGAATATTTCGCGTCCTGATGGTGGAAGTTTCAATGAGTCTGCAATTAACATGGCTTCCCTTCCGTACCTGTATATACCACCAGCTTCTCTCAGATATGGTCTCTATGCAATCAATGTTACCATATACATAGACGGATTCTCGTTTTTCAATGATACAAGTGTTGTTTATCTTTATGAAGAGCCAACTCCTCTGGTGCTAGAACTGGAAGGAGGTGACCAGCGCACCGTCCTCTTGGGAAATTCTTTTAATCTGGATGCCAGGAAGTCTTTAGATTTGGATTACCCTATCCACAAAACTTGGTATGACATTACTTGGTACTGCTGGATGATAGGTGACACAACAAAGTTTGATCCTAACCGCCATGAAAATTCTGCTGACTTGAAATCCCTGGAATACTGCTTTTCTTCTTTGGCGATAGGCGCCGGTGAAAACACTACTACTGTTACTATTCCGGGCACAGATTTACAATCGGCGTCAATGAAGAGTGTTGTGGCCAAAATGACTCAAGGAGGACTAGTGCAATGGAAGGCACAAGACATCATAGTGATTCAAAATTCAGCTGCTATGCTCTCAATTAAGTAAGTATTGCTGATGAAAATAAGTTTCTCCTAGTATACTTGGTTGGTTAAAAAGCAAAAACAGAATCATTTAATGGACAGTAATCCAAACGCTATTTTCCAGGTGAAAGGCTCATAGTATAGATACACATATATATCCTATAATTAGGTTACAGCCCCCTTCCCTCTCCCCCACATATATATCCTATAGTTAGGTTACAGCCCCCTTCCCTCTCCCCCACATATATATCCTATAGTTAGGTTACAGCCCCCTTCCCTCTCCCCCACATATATATCCTATAGTTAGGTTACAGCCCCCTTCCCTCTCCCCCACATATATATCCTATAGTTAGGTTACAGCCCCCTTCCCTCTCCCCCACATATATATCCTATAGTTAGGTTACAGCCCCCTTCCCTCTCCCCCACATATATATCCTATAGTTATATAGGTTACAGCCCCCTTCCCTCTCATATATATCCTATAGTTAGGTTACAGCCCCCTTCCCTCTCCCCCACATATATATCCTATAGTTAGGTTACAGCCCCCTTCCCTCTCCCCCACATATATATCCTATAGTTAGGTTACAGCCCCCTTCCCTCTCCCCCACATATATATCCTATAGTTAGGTTACAGCCCCCTTCCCTCTCCCCCACATATATATCCTATAGTTAGGTTACAGCCCCCTTCCCTCTCCCCCACATATATATCCTATAGTTAGGTTACAGCCCCCTTCCCTCTCCTCCACATATATATCCTATAGTTAGGTTACAGCCCCCTTCCCTCTCCCCCACATATATATCCTATAGTTAGGTTACAGCCCCCTTCCCTCTCCCCCACATATATATCCTATAGTTAGGTTACAGCCCCCTTCCCTCTCCCCCACATATATATCCTATAGTTAGGTTACAGCCCCTCCCCTCTCCCCCACATATATATCCTATAGTTAGGTTACAGCCCCCTCCCCTCTCCCCCACATATATATCCTATAGTTAGGTTACAGCCCCCTTCCCTCTCCCCCACATATATATCCTATAGTTAGGTTACAGCCCCCTTCCCTCTCCCCCTCATATATGTTAACAGGTATATAGAGAATTGTTACAGCATCTCACCTGTGTTATATTTATAGAGAATTGTTACAGCATCTTACCTGTGTTATATTTACAGGTGTATAGAGAATTGTTACAGCATCTTACCTGTGTTATATTTACAGGTGTATAGAGAATTGTTACAGCATCTTACCTGTGTTATATTTACAGGTGTATAGAGAATTGTTACAGCGTCGTAAGTGCCTCCTTACCTGTACGTTTGAAGGGAGAGTGCCTTACCTGTACACTGTACAATCGACTTGACCTTACCTATACTTGGCGTCTCTATAAAATTGATGATGGAAAAGCATACCTGATTGACTATTTGGATGCCTGGACATATACTGGTATTTAACATCTATTTAACTCCATTATCATATTAAGATCCTAGCCTGATATTTCTGATGCTAATGAGTTTTCTAATACTTTTGTGGTCTGTCCATCTGTTAATGATAATTGTACACTATTTCTGGTTCAGAGTTTGTTATTGAGTTTCATAGGAAGACATCTTCAGAAAATCCTTATCAACACTCTACTTAATTTCAAATCCTTAAGAGAGTCGACCATCATTAGTCAATTAAGGCTGAATTATGAAATGTATTGTTCATGTTGCCATGTTCAAAATTGAAGGAATGAATCAACAACAGGTGTTTGTTTGGTAGGAATGAATCCACAACAGGTGTTTGTTTGGTAGGAATGAATCAACAACAGGTGTTGGTTTGGGAGGAATGAATCAACAACAGGTGTTGGTTTGGTAGGAATGAATCAACAACAGGTGTTGGTTTGGTAGGAATGAATCAACAACAGGTGTTGGTTTGGGAGGAATGAATCCACCACATGTGTTTGTTTGGTTGGAATGAATTCACAACAGGTGTTTGTTTGGTAGGAATGAATCAACAACAGGTGTTTGTTTGGTAGGAATGAATCCACCACATGTGTTTGTTTGGTAGAAATGAATCAACAACAGGTGTTTGTTTGGTAGGAATGAATCCACAACAGGTGTTTGTTTGGTAGGAATGAATCAACAACAGGTGTTTGTTTGGTAGGAATGAATCCACAACAGGTGTTTGTTTGGTAGGAATGAATTCACAACAGGTGTTTGTTTGGTAGGAATGAATTCACAACAGGTGTTTGTTTGGGAGGAATGAATCCACCACATGTGTTTGTTTGGGAGGAATGAATCCACAACAGGTGTTGGTTTGGGAGGAATGAATCAACAACAGGTGTTTGTTTGGGAGGAATGAATCCACCACATGTGTTTGTTTGGGAGGAATGAATCAACAACAGGTGTTGGTTTGGTAGGAATGAATCAACAACAGGTGTTTGTTTGGTAGGAATGAATCAACAACAGGTGTTTGTTTGGTAGGAATGAATCCACAACAGATGTTTGTTTGGTAGGAATGAATCCACAACAGGTGTTTGTTTGGTAGGAATGAATCAACAACAGGTGTTTGTTTGGGAGGAATGAATCCACCACATGTGTTTGTTTGGGAGGAATGAATCAACAACAGGTGTTGGTTTGGGAGGAATGAATCAACAACAGGTGTTTGTTTGGTAGGAATGAATCCACAACTGATGTTTGTTTGGTAGGAATGAATCCACCACAGGTGTTTGTTTGGTAGGAATGAATCCACCACATGTGTTTGTTTGGTAGGAATGAATCCACCACAGGTGTTTGTTTGGTAGGAATGAATCCACCACAGGTGTTTGTTTGGTAGGAATGAATCCACCACAGGTGTTTGTTTGGTAGGAATGAATCAACCACAGGTGTTTGTTTGGTAGGAATGAATCCACCACATGTGTTTGTTTGGTAGGAATGAATTCACAACAGGTGTTTGTTTGGTAGGAATGAATCCACAACCGATGTTTGCTTGGTAGGAATGAATCCACCACAGGTGTTTGTTTGGTAGGAATGAATCCACAACAGGTGTTTGTTTGGTAGGAATGAATCAACAACAGGTGTTTGTTTGGGAGGAATGAATCAACAACAGGTGTTGGTTTGGTAGGAATGAATCAACAACAGGTGTTTGTTTGGTAGGAATGAATCCACAACCGATGTTTGCTTGGTAGGAATGAATCCACCACAGGTGTTTGTTTGGTAGGAATGAAACCACCAAAGGTGTTTTGTTTGGTAGTAATGAATCCACCACAGGTGTTTGTTTGGTAGAAATGAATCAACAACAGGTGTTTGTTTGGTAGGAATGAATCCACAACAGGTGTTTGTTTGGTAGGAATTAATCCACCACAGGTGTTTTGTTTGGTAGGAATGAATCCACTGCATAGCTGTATAGTGCAATGTCAGTTTTAATAAATTTCTTTGAAAAAAAATGAAAGTCTGATTTAATGAAATATAAAAGGTAAAGATTATAAATGGCAAATATGTGGACTGTATCTTATTAATATGTTTCTGTTACACCAGGAACCAGCAGTGCAAACCTAGCTATCAAACCAGGTCTTTTGGAAGTGGGAGAATCTTATGAAATACAACTGCTTTCTGGGAATGATTACACCAAACGTTCATTTTGGGTAACATGGCCACCATACAATGGAAAGTGTAGCACCAACATCAACATAGGTATGTATAAGATAGAAAAATCAACACGGGTAACATATCACGGTCAAAAAGTAACATCAAGGTGGGTAACATCACAGTCATAAAGTAACATCAAGGTAGGTAACATCACAGCCATGAAGTAACATCAAGGTGGGTAACATCACAGCCAATAAGTAAAATCAAGGTAGGTAACATCACAGCCAATAAGTAACATCAAGGTGGGTAACATCACAGCCAATAAGTAACATCAAGGTAGGTAACATCACAGCCATGAAGTAACATCAAGGTGGGTAATATCACAGCCATGAAGTAACATCAAGGTAGGTAACATCACAGCCATGAAGTAACATCAAGGTAGGTAACATCACAGCCAATAAGTAACATCAAGGTGGGTAACATCACAGCCATGAAGTAACATCAAGGTGGGTAACATCACAGCCATGAAGTAACATCAAGGTGGGTAACATCACAGCCATGAAGTAACATCAAGGTGGGTAATATCACAGCCATGAAGTAACATCAAGGTAGGTAACATCACAGCCAATAAGTAACATCAAGGTAGGTAACATCACAGCCATAAAGTAACATCAAGGTAGGTAACATCACAGCCATGAAGTAACATCAAGGTGGGTAACATCACAGCCATGAAGTAACATCAAGGTGGGTAACATCACAGCCATGAAGTAACATCAAGGTGGGTAACATCACAGCCATGAAGTAACATCAAGGTGGGTAACATCACAGCCATGAAGTAACATCAAGGTGGGTAACATCACAGCCATGAAGTAACATCAAGGTGGGTAACATCACAGCCATGAAGTAACATCAAGGTGGGTAACATCACAGCCATGAAGTAACATCAAGGTAGGTAACATCACAGCCATGAAGTAACATCAAGGTGGGTAACATCACAGCCATGAAGTAACATTAACACAGTAACATTCCAATCACCCGATGCCTGCGGTCATCTGTTCATGAATTATTCTTGTTATTACAATTTCTTCAGAAGCACTGGTTGTATATTTCTCAAAATTCTGGTGTTGTTGCACCTTGGTTCCTAGTTTTGCCATTCCAATTTTGGGACTGATCAAGAAAACAAAATGGTCAACATGCATCCATTTTGCATTTTTACAATGAAAGTTTGTTTTTGTTATTTCTTGTGAAATTCTCACATTTTTTATGTAAGTTCTCATAGGGCCCTAGTTGTTCCATTTTGGTTTTGATCAGAATAACAAAATGGCCACCAAGCAACAACCTTGGATTTGGCTATTGAAAATTCTTTTTGGCTATTTATCATGGGAATGCTCAAATTTGATAAAATTAAGAGTGAATTCTGAGGAAAGAAGAGAAAAGAAAGGAAAGGATCTAGTTTTTAAAAAATATAAAAAGATCAAACAATGATGGGGGCCAAGATCCCCTATGGATCTCTTTGTTAGTTCTAGCAACACTCATAATGTAAATTGTCATTTCTTGTTTCTTGTGAAAATGTCTTCCCCACAACATAGCTGTTAAATCAACATAGAACATATAGCAAAATTTATACAATCTTGGAATTATGTTATTTCTTCACACAGAAAGCACTTTTGTAGTTGGACATTTCTTTCTGTTCTCAGGTACAGCATTCAGAAGTAAATTTATTGTATCGTGCATGGATTGGCTGGATGAAGGGGTTCAGAAGACACGAGATGTATCAGTAGATAAAACGTACAGACGTAACTTCGATTTTACCTTCTACGTTGCCTCGAACACCAGTAGTGAGTACAAGAGGACTCCATTTTTCCGTGTACTGGGATCATGGGCTACAGCTCCAGAGATGATCCTCGGTGAGGGTGATCCTAACAACGACTACAAGGTGGACCTAGTGGTTACGATAAAAGACTTTTATGGAAGTGTCATAACTGTCACTAACACTGTGCAGGTAAACAGTTAAACAGGAGGGGATTTATTCAGAAAATCTGGGGGTTTTTTAAACAAACTCGTTAGACACATTTTCATCCGTCAGTGGTGTAGGAGCAGACAAAAGTCTATTTATATTGAATTTTCATCAGCCTTTCGTTTGGCATCAATCTTTAAACTCCACATCAACATTTTATGTCTGAGTGTCAGTCAGATTAAGTGTGTTCCAACTAAACTATAGGATGTACAAATTAAGTGTGTTCCAACTAAACTATAGGATGTACAAATTAAGTGTGTTCCAACTAAACTATAGGATGTACAAATTAAGTGTGTTCCAACTTCTAGGGAAAATAGGTAAAAGTCTTTTGACTACTTTTTATTTCTTTTAACGAAGCAATTTCAGCAAACTTAATGAGGTGAGCACTACAGACCCTATGGGCCTCTTGTTATTGATGACACCAACTGTGTCATTGTAAAGTAAACGAGAGTTTTATGGACTTCAGGTGATGCCTCCAGATTACACTCTCCTAGAGGTCACCAACTGTACAGAGATGTTATTATATGAAGCAGAGAAAGACATGATGGGAATCATCATGTTGTCTAATGGTCTGATACACAAATTGACACAGGACATCAACAATAATGTAAGTATCTCACAGACTGATACAGGACATCAACAATATCCCACAGACTGATACAGGACATCAACAATAATGTGGGTATCCCACAGACTGATACAGGACATCAACAATATCCCACAGACTGATACAGGACATCAACAATAATGTAGGTATCCCACAGACTGATACAGGACATCAACAATATCTCACAGACTGATACAGGACATCAACAATAATGTAGGTATCCCACAGACTGATACAGGACATCAACAATAATGTAGGTATCCCACAGACTGATACAGGACATCAACAATATCCCACAGACTGATACAGGACATCAACAATAATGTAGGTATCCCACAGACTGATACAGGACATCAACAATAATGTAGGTATCCCACAGACTGATACAGGACATCAACAATAATGTAGGTATCCCACAGACTGATACAGGACATCAACAATATCCCACAGACTGATACAGGACATCAACAATAATGTAGGTATCCCACAGACTGATACAGGACATCAACAATAATGTAGGTATCCCACAGACTGATACAGGACATCAACAATATCCCACAGACTGATACAGGACATCAACAATATCCCACAGACTGATACAGGACATCAACAATATCCCACAGACTGATACAGGACATCAACAATATCCCACAGACTGATACAGGACATCATCAATATCCCACAGACTGATACAGGACATCAACAATATCCCACAGACTGATACAGGACATCAACAATATCTCACAGACTGATACAGGACATCAACAATATCCCACAGACTGATACAGGACATCAACAATATCCCACAGACTTATACAGGACATCAACAATATCCCACAGACTGATACAGGACATCAACAATAACCACAGACTGATACAGGACATCAACAATATCCAGACACAGACTGATACAGGACATCAACAATATCCCACAGACTGATACAGGACATCAACAATATCACACAGACTGATACAGGACATCAACAATAATGTAGGTATCCCACAGACTGATACAGGACATCAACAATAATGTAGGTATCCCACAGACTGATACAGGACATCAACAATATCCCACAGACTGATACAGGACATCAACAATATCTCACAGACTGATACAGGACATCAACAATATCCCACAGACTGATACAGGACATCAACAATATCCCACAGACTGATACAGGACATCAACAATAATGTAGGTATCCCACAGACTGATACAGGACATCAACAATATCTCACAGACTGATACAGGACATCAACAATAATGTAGGTATCCCACAGACTGATACAGGACATCAACAATAATGTAGGTATCTCACAGACTGATACAGGACATCAACAATAATGTAGGTATCCCACAGACTGATACAGGACATCAACAATATCCCACAGACTGATACAGGACATCAACAATAATGTAGGTATCCCACAGACTGATACAGGACATCAACAATAATGTAGGTATCCCACAGACTGATACAGGACATCAACAATATCCCACAGACTGATACAGGACATCAACAATATCCCACAGACTGATACAGGACATCAACAATATCCCACAGACTGATACAGGACATCAACAATATCCCACAGACTGATACAGGACATCAACAATATCCCACAGACTGATACAGGACATCAACAATATCCCACAGACTGATACAGGACATCAACAATATCCCACAGACTGATACAGGACATCAACAATATCCCACAGACTGATACAGGACATCAACAATATCCCACAGACTGATACAGGACATCAACAATATCCCACAGACTGATACAGGACATCAACAATATCCCACAGACTGATACAGGACATCAACAATATCCACAGACTGATACAGGACATCAACAATATCCCACAGACTGATACAGGACATCAACAATATCCCACAGACTGATACAGGACATCATCAATATCCCACAGATATCCCACAGACTGATACAGGACATCAACAATAATGTAGGTATCCCACAGACTGATACAGGACATCAACAATAATGTAGGTATCTCACAGACTGATACAGGACATCAACAATATCTCACAGACTGATACAGGACATCGACAATATCCCACAGACTGATACAGGACATCAACAATATCCCACAGACTGATACAGGACATCAACAATAATGTAGGTATCCCACAGACTGATACAGGACATCAACAATAATGTAGGTATCTCACAGACTGATACAGGACATCAACAATATCTCACAGACTGATACAGGACATCGACAATAATGTAGGTATCCCACAGACTGATACAGGACATCAACAATAATGTAGGTATCATACAGACTGATACAGGACATCAACAATAATGTAGGTATCCCACAGACTGATACAGGACATCAACAATATCCCACAGACTGATACAGGACATCAACAATAATGTAGGTATCCCACAGACTGATACAGGACATCAACAATATCCCACAGACTGATACAGGACATCAACAATATCCCACAGACTGAATGTAGGTATCCCACAGACTGATACAGGACATCAACAATAAATATCCCACAGACTGATACAGGACATCAACAATAATGTAGGTATCCCACAGACTGATACAGGACATCAACAATATCCCACAGACTGATACAGGACATCAACAATAATGTAGGTATCCCACAGACTGATACAGGACATCAACAATATCCCACAGACTGATACAGGACATCAACAATATCCCACAGACTGATACAGGACATCAACAATATCCCACAGACTGATACAGGACATCATCAATATCCCACAGACTGATACAGGACATCAACAATATCACACAGACTGATACAGGACATCAACAATAATGTAGGTATCCCACAGACTGATACAGGACATCAACAATATCCCACAGACTGATACAGGACATCAACAATATCCCACAGACTGATACAGGACATCATCAATATCCCACAGACTGATACAGGACATCAACAATATCCCACAGACTGATACAGGACATCAACAATATCCCACAGACTGATACAGGACATCAACAATAATGTAGGTATCATACAAACTGATACATGACATCAACAATATCCCACAGACTGATACAGGACATCAACAATATCCCACAGACTGATACAGGACATCAACAATATCCCACAGACTGATACAGGACATCAACAATATCCCACAGACTGATACAGGACATCAACAATATCACACAGACTGATACAGGACATCAACAATAATGTAGGTATCCCACAGACTGATACAGGACATCAACAATATCTCACAGACTGATACAGGACATCAACAATATCTCACAGACTGATACAGGACATCAACAATATCCCACAGACTGATACAGGACATCAACAATATCCCACAGACTGATACAGGACATCAACAATATCCCACAGACTGATACAGGACATCAACAATAATGTAGGTATCCCACAGACTGATACAGGACATCAACAATATCTCACAGACTGATACAGGACATCGACAATAATGTAGGTATCCCACAGACTGATACAGGACATCAACAATAATGTAGGTATCATACAGACTGATACAGGACATCAACAATAATGTAGGTATCCCACAGACTGATACAGGACATCAACAATATCCCACAGACTGATACAGGACATCAACAATAATGTAGGTATCCCACAGACTGATACAGGACATCAACAATATCCCACAGACTGATACAGGACATCAACAATAATGTAGGTATCCCACAGACTGATACAGGACATCAACAATAATGTAGGTATCCCACAGACTGATACAGGACATCAACAATATCCCACAGACTGATACAGGACATCAACAATAATGTAGGTATCCCACAGACTGATACAGGACATCAACAATATCCCACAGACTGATACAGGACATCAACAAAATCCCACAGACTGATACAGGACATCAACAATATCCCACAGACTGATACAGGACATCAACAATATCCCACAGACTGATACAGGACATCAACAATATCCCACAGACTGATACAGGACATCAACAATAATGTAGGTATCTCACAGACTGATACAGGACATCAACAATAATGTAGGTATCTCACAGACTGATACAGGACATCAACAATAATGTAGGTATCCCACAGACTGATACAGGACATCAACAATAATGTAGGTATCCCACAGACTGATACAGGACATCAACAATATCACACAGACTGATACAGGACATCAACAATAATGTAGGTATCCCACAGACTGATACAGGACATCAACAATATCTCACAGACTGATACAGGACATCAACAATATCCCACAGACTGATACAGGACATCATCAATATCCCACAGACTGATACAGGACATCAACAATATCCCACAGACTTATACAGGACATCAACAATAATGTAGGTATCCCACAGACTGATACAGGACATCAACAATATCCCACAAACTGATACAGGACATCAACAATATCTCACAGACTGATACAGGACATCAACAATATCCCACAGACTGATACAGGACATCAACAATATCCCTTAGACTGATACAGGACATCATCAATATCCCTTAGACTGATACAGGACATCACTTATAATGGAAGTGACATACAGACGTGTATTATTGTTGACATGCTCTGTCAGGTGATATCATGTTAGATGCACAGTTTTGCTGACATCACATTTAATTACAGACTTACAGATAATGTTAGGACACATGAGTTATAACTTGATGAATCACATTTGATCAGAGAACTACAACATTGAAGATATTTCCTTTTTATCTGTTACAGGATAACAACCTGTCACATGACGTTAAGGTAAGTAATTTTATACCTGTGAATGGTTGATTCTATGTTGACTGTTTAGCCATCCGTCATTGTTTACTTTTCTCTAAAAGACTGATGGTCCAGATGATGTTATTTTATTTGAACTGGTGACAACTTGCATATGGCTCAAATTTGTAAGGAGCCAGCTGTAGACGAGAGTAGAATATACTGTTTAGAAACCTGACTTCAGAATTAGCTCCTCTTCTGTCTTGTTTAGGTTGTTCACTACAAATAGAAACCTGCATACTACGAGGTATCTACAAGAAGCCTGACATATGAACTACAACACATACTTTGTAGGATGTTGATTCTTGGAGAATTTCTTCTGCTCAAGATTTTGCTCATGAACTGGATCATCAGAGAGATAATTTTTATGTACTGACAATTCCAATAATAGTATTAAGTCCCATCTTATTTGCAATTAATAGGATGGAATTGAGGCCATTCATGTCTCAAAGACAAAATAAATGTCCCTCCTTCCCCACCGTCCCGCTACCCTACCAACCACATCCCCCTCCCCCTACAACCACCTCCCCCTCCCCTACCAACCACATCCCCCTCCCCCTACAACCACCTCCCCTTCCCCTACCAACCACATCCCCCTCCCCCTACAACCACCTCCCCCTCCCCTACCAACCACATCCCCCTCCCCCACCAACCACATCCCTCTCCCCCACCAACCACATCCCTCTCCCCCACCAACCACATCCCCCTCCCCCACCAACCACATTAACTCTCCCCCACCGACCACATCTCCCTCCCCCACCAACGACATCCCTCTCCCCCACCAACCACATCCCTCTCCCCCACCAACCACATCCCCCTCCCCCACCAACCACATTAACTCTCCCCCACCAACCACATCCCCCTCCCCCACCAACCACATTAACTCTCCCCCACCAACCACATCCCCTCCCCCTACAACCACCTCCCCCTCCCCTACCAACCATATCCCCCTCCCCTACCAACCACATCTCCCTCCCCACCAACCACATCCCTCTCCCCCACCAACCACATCCCTCTCCCCCACCAACCACATACCTCTCCCCCACTCTCCCCCACCAACCACATCCCCCTCCCCCACCAACCACATCCCCCTCCCCCACCAACCACATTAACTCTCCCCCACCAACCACATCCCCCTCCCCCACCAACCACATCCCTCTCCCCCACCAACCACATACCTCTCCCCCACCAACCACATCCCCCTCCCCCACCAACCACATCCCCCTCCCCCACCAACCACATCCCCCTCCCCCACCAACCACATTAACTCTCCCCCACCAACCACATTAACTCTCCCTAAAACTAAAAGTAGGGAAATAACAGTATCTTAAAATCTCACCATCAGGACAAGTGAAGGAAGTTTGACTTGAAACGCCTTTACTATTTAGAACCTTCAAATTTGGCTTAAGAGATTGGCTTTGTTGGATGGTATCGTTGAAAAGTGTCTGTTCAGATTTTGCTCAAGACGATGACTATGTTCGATGATCTTGAAATAATTAAACTCATTGAGTATTGATTAAGAAATATTGGCCGACATGCAAATTCTGAATCAAAGGTTTTAAACGTTTCCTTTCTGCATACTTTTGTCTATATTTCTCTAATTCATGTCATACAAAGTAAGGGTAAATTCTGTAGCAGTGTTAGAATGGCTTGAGGACGGTAAAACCAGGTAATGATAAAACATAGTGGTTAATAACAAGGTAATTTATGTACATTCCCTATTTATATCAGTTTTGTAGCCGCTGACTTATAGTTTTAGTTTATTTTATATCTTACAAAGGTTATGACAGCAACTATTGACAGATTGTCAGCCAATGAAAACTTGATCCAAGATGAGGTTTTAGCTGCCAGTACAGTCGACACCTTAAATAGTATGTTGTCTCTGGAGACTACGGTGACAAGCCTAAGTAGAGAGAGCAAGGTTGGTGCCCCCTTCTTAATTACCTTTAATTTGGACTAACTATGAACCACGTGACATCACTCAATACCTTTAATTTTTAACTTTTACTGTACATCTGTCCCCAAAAATAATGTTTCATCCTCAAAATATTATACATATCAGAGATCTTGTTTATCACTTTATAACACTTATTTTGTAAATCAATGATATGACAGAGCATCCACCAAAAGATAAAAAACATGTAAGGCTGATGTTAATTCCATCCTGTAATGTCCCACACTGTTACAACAGTCTTACACAAACTCCATCCTGTAATGTCCCACACTGTTACAACAGTCTAACACAAACTCCATCCTGTAATGTCCCACATTGTCACAACAGTCTTACACAAACTCCAGTCTGTGGTGTCCCTCACTGTCACAACAGTCTAACACAAACTCCATCCTGTAATGTCCCACATTGTCACAACAGTCTAACACAAACTCCATCCTGTAATGTCCCACACTGTCACAACAGTCTAACACAAACTCCATCCTGTAATGTCCCACACTGTTACAACAGTCTAACACAAACTCCATCCTGTAATGTCCCACACTGTTACAACAGTCTAACACAAACTCCATCCTGTAATGTCCCACACTGTTACAACAGTCTAACACAAACTCCAGTCTGTAATGTCCCACACTGTCACAACAGTCTAACACAGACTCCATCCTGTAATGTCCCACACTGTCACAACAGTCTAACACAAACTCCATCCTGTAATGTCCCACACTGTCACAACAGTCTAACACAAACTCCAGTCTGTAATGTCCCACACTGTCACAACAGTCTAACACAAACTCCATCCTGTAATGTCCCACACTGTCACAACAGTCTAACACAAACTCCAGTCTGTAATGTCCCACACTGTCACAACAGTCTAACACAACAGTCAACACTCAACATCCTGTAATGTCCCACATTGTCACAACAGTCTAACACAAACTCCAGTCTGTAATGTCCCACACTGTCACAACAATCTAACACAAACTCCATCCTGTAATGTCCCACACTGTCACAACAGTCTAACACAAACTCCAGTCAGTAGGGTTTTTCCTCAATCATGGTAATAACTATTTCAATTTATTGTGTTGTAGATGAAAATTGGAAGCTCCTATCAGAATATTGCCAGCTCTCTTGAAACTAACTTCAAACTTTCCATGTCATCAGATGAGAAACAGGCGTTAGCACAAGGTAAACAAACATATTTACAGATACCTGTCATCAGATGAGAAACAGGCACAAGGTGAACAAACATATTTACAGATACCTGTCATCAGATGAGAAACAGGTGTTAGCACAAGGTAAACAAACATATTTACAGATACCTGTCATCAGGTGAGAAACAGGCGTTAGCACAAGGTAAACAAACATATTTACAGATACCTGTCATCAGGTGAGAAACAGGCATTAACACAAGGTAAACAAACATATTTACAGATACCTGTCATCAGGTGACAAACAGGCACAAGGTAAACAAACATATTTACAGATACCTGTCATCAGGTGACAAACAGGCACAAGGTAAACAAACATATTTCCAGATACCTGTCATCAGGTGAGAAACAGGCATTAACACAAGGTAAACAAACATATTTACAGATACCTGTCATCAGATGAGAAACAGGTGTTAGCATAAGGTAAACAAACATATTTACAAACATGTCATCAGATGAGAAACAGGTGTTAGCACAAGGTAAACAAACATATTTACAGATACCTGTCATCAGATGAGAAACAGGTGTTAGCATAATGTAAACAAACATATTTACAAACATGTCATCAGATGACAAACAGGTGTTAGCATAAGGTAAACAAACATATTTACAGATACCTGTCATCAGATGAGAAACGGGTGTTAGCACAAGGTAAACAAACATATTTACAGATACCTGTCATCAGGTGAGAAACAGGCATAAGGTAAACAAACATATTTACAGATACCTGTCATCAGATGACAAACAGGCACAAGGTAAACAAACATATTTACAGATACCTGTCATCAGATGACAAACAGGCATTGACACAAGGTAAACAAACATATTTACAGATACCTGTCATCAGATGACAAACAGGCATTGACACAAGGTAAACAAACATATTTACAGATACCTGTCATCAGATGAGAAACAGGTGTTAGCATAATGTAAACAAACATATTTACAGATACATGTCATCAGGTGAGAAACAGGTGTTAGCACAAGGTAAACAAACATATTTACAGATACCTGTCATCAGGTGAGAAACAGGCACAAGGTAAACAAACATATTTACAGATACCTGTCATCAGATGAGAAACAGGTGTTAGCACAAGGTAAACAAACATATTTACAGATACCTGTCATCAGATGAGAAACAGGTGTTAGCACAAGGTAAACAAACATATTTACAGATACCTGTCATCAGGTGAGAAACAGGCACAAGGTAAACAAACATATTTACAGATACCTGTCATCAGATGACAAACAGGCACAAGGTAAACAAACATATTTACAAACATGTCATCAGATGAGAAACAGGCATTAACACAAGGTAAACAAACATATTTACAGATACCTGTCATCAGATGACAAACAGGCACAAGGTAAACAAACATATTTACAGATACCTGTCATCAGATGAGAAACAGGTGTTAGCACAAGGTAAACAAACATATTTACAGATACCTGTCATTAGGTGAGAAACAGGCACAAGGTAAACAAACATATTTACAAATACCTGTCATCAGATGAGAAACAGGTGTTAGCATAATGTAAACAAACATATTTACAAACATGTCATCAGATGAGAAACAGGTGTTAGCATAATGTAAACAAACATATTTACAAACATGTCATCAGATGAGAAACAGGCATTAACACAAGGTAAACAAACATATTTACAGATACCTGTCATCAGATGAGAAACAGGTGTTAGCATAATGTAAACAAACATATTTACAGATACCTGTCATCAGATGAGAAACAGGTGTTAGCACAAGGTAAACAAACATATTTACAAACATGTCATCAGATGAGAAACAGGTGTTAGCACAAGGTAAACAAACATATTTACAAATACCTGTCATCAGATGAGACATCTTTACAGGTAAAACACCAATAACAAAGGTGAGTTTATTTATCAGGAAAATGTGCAATATAACAGGTTAGTTTAGCGACAAAATGCTTTTCTATAAACATTGGGAATATCAAATTTTATCCTCCTTTTGACCATTTAAGAGGGAACTAAAATATTTCTCAACTGAAATCCTACAGTTCAATGTTTACCATGTGTCTTACAGTATATTTCTGAGAAGATAATGATTTCTCGACTCATTCAGCTAATACTAATGCTGTTGCTGTTTTCTCCATGAGTTTAGATAATTGTTGTATGTAACAGATATAAGTAAATTGTTGCTACTGGTATTTCAGACCTGCTAAGTGGTGTGGTGACTTTCGCTCAGAATACAAAGTATTCTACTGATTGTTCCTCCAGTGATTGTGACGAACAGTTCAAACAGGTGAGGACAGTTGGGAGTTTGAATGTTTTATTTCAACTGTGCCATGAAACACTGAAGAAATCACACATTAATTTTTCTGTACAACAAGAACATAATAGATAAGATTTATCTATGTTTTCTGTACCACACAGACACCATAGATATCATCTGTTTATGTTTTCTGTACCACACAGACACCATAGATATCATGTGTTTATGTTTTCTGTACCACACAGACACCATAGATATCATGTGTTTATGTTTTCTGTACCACACAGACACCATAGATATCATGTGTTTATGTTTTCTGTACCACACAGACACCATAGATATCATGTGTTTATGTTTTCTATACCACACAGACACCATAGATATCATGTGTTTATGTTTTCTGTACCACACAGACACCATAGATATCATGTGTTTATGTTTTCTGTACCACACAGACACCATAGATATCATGTGTTTATGGTTTCTGTACCACACAGACACCATAGATATCATGTGTTTATGTTTTCTGTACCACACAGACACCATAGATATCATGTGTTTATGTTTTCTGTACCACACAGACACCATAGATATCATGTGTTTATGTTTTCTGTACCACACAGACACCATAGATATCATCTGTTTATGTTTTCTGTACCACACAGACACCATAGATATCATGTGTTTATGTTTTCTGTACCACACAGACACCATAGATATCATGTGTTTATGTTTTCTGTACCACACAGACACCATAGATATCATGTGTTTATGTTTTCTGTACCACACAGACACCATAGATATCATGTGTTTATGGTTTCTGTACCACACAGACACCATAGATATCATGTGTTTATGTTTTCTGTACCACACAGACACCATAGATATCATGTGTTTATGGTTTCTGTACCACACAGACACCATAGATATCATGTGTTTATGTTTTCTGTACCACACAGACACCATAGATATCATCTGTTTATGTTTTCTGTACCACACAGACACCATAGATATCATGTGTTTATGTTTTCTGTACCACACAGACACCATAGATATCATCTGTTTATGTTTTCTGTACCATACAGACACCATAGATATCATGTGTTTATGTTTTCTGTACCACACAGACACCATAGATATCATGTGTTTATGTTTTCTGTACCACACAGACACCATAGATATCATGTGTTTATGTTTTCTGTACCACACAGACACCATAGATATCATGTGTTTATGTTTTCTGTACCACACAGACACCATAGATATCATGTGTTTATGTTTTCTGTACCATACAGACACCATAGATATCATGTGTTTATGTTTTCTGTACCACACAGACACCATAGATATCATGTGTTTATGTTTTCTGTACCACAGACACCATAGATATCATGTGTTTATGTTTTCTGTACCACAGACACCATAGATATCATGTGTTTATGTTTTCTGTACCACACAGACACCATAGATATCATCTGTTTATGTTTTCTGTACCACACAGACACCATAGATATCATGTGTTTATGTTTTCTGTACCATACAGACACCATAGATATCATGTGTTTATGTTTTCTGTACCACACAGACACCATATGTATCATGTGTTTATGTTTTCTGAACCACACAGACACCATAGATATCATGTGTTTATGTTTTCTGTACCACAGACACCATAGATGTCATGTGTTTATGTTTTCTGTACCACACAGACACCATATATATCATGTGTTTATGTTTTCTGTACCACACAGACACCATAGATGTCATGTGTTTATGTTTTCTGTACCACACAGACACCATAGATATCATGTGTTTATGTTTTCTGTACCACACAGACACCATAGATATCACTCATTTATGTTTTCTGTACCACACAGACACCATAGATATCATGTGTTTATGTTTCTCTACTACAGGGACAATATGTCGTAGAATTTATAAGTATCACCCACAACATATCAGCTATTTTACTGGAGGGTACAGTTCCTGGGGAGGAGGAGATTATCATATCCATCCCCCAGGGTAACACTGTCATGGCTGTCAGGCGCTTGGAAACCTTGGAGGTGTTTAATTCAACCTTGTCTCTTCATGGCCATCCACTCGCTGAAGTGCCTGACCTGTCTGACGTTGTCAACTGTGAAGAGCATGGCCATATGGATGTGGAGGTAAGTTCATCAAAGAAACAGAGACAGGAAAGTCATGTGATCGTGACTGATACAGAGACTGATGATAGAGAGGTCATGTGATCTTGTCTGATACAGAGACTGATGATAGAGAGGTCATGTGATCATGTCTGATACAGAGACTGATGGTAGAGAGATCATGTGATCGTGACTGATACAGAGACTGATGATAGAGAGGTCATGTGATCTTGTCTGATACAGAGACTGATGATAGAGAGGTCATGTGATCTTGTCTGATACAGAGACGTATAATAGAGAGGTCATGTGATCATGTCTGATACAGAGACTGATGGTAGAGAGGTCATGTGATCTTGTCTGATACAGACACTGATGATAGAGAGGTCATGTGATCATGTCTGATACAGAGACTGATGGTAGAGAGATCATGTGATCGTGACTGATACAGAGACTGATGATAGAGAGGTCATGTGATCTTGTCTGATACAGAGACTGATGATAGAGAGGTCATGTGATCATGTCTGATACAGAGACTGATGGTAGAGAGATCATGTGATCGTGACTGATACAGAGACTGATGATAGAGAGGTCATGTGATCTTGTCTGATACAGAGATTGATGATAGAGAGATCATGTGATCTTGTCTGATATAGAGACTGATGATAGAGAGGTCATGTGATCATGTCTGATACAGACACTGATGATAGAGAGATTATGTGATCATGTCTGATACAAAGACTGATGGTAGAGAGGTCATGTGATCTTGTCTGATACAGAGATGTATAATAGAGAGGTCATGTGATCTTGTCTGATACAGAGACTGATGATAGAGAGGTCATGTGATCTTGTCTGATACAGAGACTGATGATAGAGAGGTCATGTGATCTTGTCTGATACAGACACTGATGATAGAGAGGTCATGTGATCTTGTCTGATACAGACACTGATGATAGAGAGGTCATGTGATCTTGTCTGATACAGAGACGTATAATAGAGAGGTCATGTGATCTTGTCTGATACAGAGACTGATGATAGAGAGGTCATGTGATCTTGTCTGATACAGAGACTGATGATAGAGAGGTCATGTGATCATGTCTGATACAGAGACTGATGATAGAGAGGTCATGTGATCTTGTCTGATACAGAGACTGATGATAGAGAGGTCATGTGATCTTGTCTTATACAGACACTGATGATAGAGAGATCATGTGATCTTGTCTGATACAGAGACTGATGATAGAGAGATCATGTGATCATGTCTGATACAGAGACTGATGATAGAGAGGTCATGTGATCTTGTCTGATACAGAGACTGATGATAGAATGGTCATGTGATCTTGTCTGATACAGAGATGTGTAATAGAGAGGTCATGTGATCATGTCTGATACAGACACTGATGATAGAGAGATTATGTGATCATGTCTGATACAAAGACTGATGATAAAGAGGTCATGTGATCATGTGAATTGTGTTTGCAGATTATGGTGGGAGACAACTTGTACACGACAGATGCCTCCTGGACTCAGGTAAAGACACAGACCAATGCTGTAGCTCTTATTGTGGATGGAGAAGTCCTACAAGTGGCTGACCTTGTGACACCCATCAGGATCCTGTCTCATCCACCTATCCTACAGGGCCTGAATTTTACCTCTGTCAACCTGTCATCTGACTCCAGCCTCTTCTATATACAGCTATCAGTTAATGAATCTTATGTGACCCCTTTGTTTGTCCTCCAGACACCTAATCAGAATGTGAGTCTGAGGTACTATTTGAAGGTTGGAATCCCTCCAACCTCAGAGGATTATGATTTCAGTGGACCAGTAACTCCTCTGGATTTACAAGATATAAGTGGAAATGGAACCCGCTGGCAGGTCATCATACAGTTATCTGACCCAGCCATAGCCATGTCACTAGATACCTCCTCCAGTAACCTGTTATATCTAGGACTCTGTTCAGGTATGTATATACAAAAGTCACATTCACATTAACATTGGTGAAAATATTATTGTTTATGCTTTTTGCATTTCAGTCAATGGTTACACACAAAAATTGGTAGTTTTTTCTGATAGAAATAGCTTTTCCAATGGTTACACACAAAAGTTGGTAGTTTTTTCTGATAGAAATAGCTTTTTTTACACATCCATTTGGACAGATCCACACCGATCTTGACAGATTGTATTGTGATCTGCCTGACATTTATACATCTGTAATCTCTTCTATCTTCAGAATAGAATTGTAAGCTTCCCAAATTCTATGTATCTAACAATAGTCTAATTACTGATTCTGTTGTACTATTTTTCCAGAGTTATTGCCCCTTTTTGACCCACCATCCCTCACCACATGGTGGATAAGGGCTGTTTGTCACTTTTTCTTGATAAGCACTGAAGAGATATTTCTCAAAATAATTTGTAACTTCCCCTTTGTCCCTAGCTGTGCCAATTTTGACACTAACTAGTAAAATGAAAATGATGGACAGACAACCATCTTGTATTTTGATGTGTGTATATTTCAGTGACTGTTCAGTGAAACAAAATGACCAGCAGCTGGCTATGTTGGATTTTTGCAATTGAATGTTGTTATTGTTATTTCTAAATGTTTTGTTGATGAAAATAATCTGCAATCTGTTTTCATTGTTAATTTATTGCTACAAAATTATGTAGTTTTGCTCATTTTGTCTGCCCAGGCTACTGCTGTATCATGTATATATATGTTGTCAGCATTTTCTCACTGAAGTGGCTGAAAAAAGGCACTATTTACTGTAAAAAGCACAGACAGAAGTCCTGAAGTCCCTTGTGATATTACAGACCTACTGTGACATTGTAGTATCCCCATTTCTTAGACTCTACTTTATGAAAAATTGTAAAAATATTAATCCCTCAATGACATTTGCAAAGATATCACTCCGTATTACACTTATTTTGTATACTGTATCATCAAAATGGAGTCTTTAGACTCCCATCAATTTGGTTTTTGATTATCATTCATTTTTTATGTAAAAATTAGTCTAGATATTTGTTGATTAAAGGTCCATGTGATTGTAATATGAAGTGACATGACAGTACAGAGTTATAGACAGGGTTTCTATTAAACAGAGAATGAAGAGAGAACCACAGCATTAGACATAGCTCTATATGTACTGGACTGCCTGTTCTGGGAGGATACAATGAAAAAGTGGTCCAGGAGAGGTCTATTGGTATGTATGAGATAAGTTTGTTCCTGCTCAAAGAAATAGTCTTACTTGTTAATTGTTCATCAGGATCCTGCTACATAGGGTGAACTATTTATATAATTCTGTTATTCTAGGCTGCGTATATTTTAACACAACTTGTTTAGATAACAACTACAACAAAGATTGTCCTTAATTAAAGGAGCAATGATACGTAGGGTAGCTAAAGTTTTGATAAAGTTCTGTGATCACCTTACCAGACATTTAATTTTCAATTATGGCAAAATGTTGATATGAATCTATAAGCCAAAATGATTAATTTCACAAGATGTGATTGAGTAAAAGTACTAAGATTAACTGGAGGACAGAAAAGTGTGACCAATTAAAATTATAGTCATATCACCAAACAATACATCTTTACTAGAAGAAATTCTTCCGTTTTCAATATTCAACAATATGGCATATACAATGTACCTTGTTTCTTGAGGCTCGTGATAATAGTCATAATGTTTACCTCTTTTGTGACAGTTAGGGAATGTTACCAACTATGCTGAGGCCCCTTGTGAATCCACACATCTTACCACCTTTGGAACCAATGTGTTTGTACCACCCAACACCATCGACTTTAACACAGTGTGGTCTAAGTTCTCGGCTGACAACGTGGCCGTCATATCTACTGTGGGTGGTTTGTTAGTGGTCTATTTCCTGGTACTGTTGTGGGTCCGCAGAGCTGACAAAAGAGATGTGTCAAAGGTAAGTTTACATGTGAATAAACTGTCCTGTTCAGTACGTACAGCCATATCTCCCTCAGTCTATATCTTACTTTATATGTCTCCATTCCAGTATCTCTTTATCTGCTGTAAATTTGATGTCTCCACTCTGATGGTTCTCTATCTGCTGTAAATTCAATGTCTCCACTCTGATTGTTCTCTATCTGCTGTAAATTTGATGTCTCCACTCTGATGGTTCTCTGTCTGCTGTAAATTTGATGTCTCCACTCTGATGGTTCTCTATCTGCTGTAAATTTGATGTCTCCACTCTGATGGTTCTCTATCTGCTGTAAATTTGATGTCTCCACTCTGATGGTTCTCTATCTGCTGTAAATTTGATGTCTCCACTCTGATGGTTCTCTATCTGCTGTAAATTTGATGTCTCCACCCTGATGGTTCTCTATCTGCTGTAAATTTGATGTCTCCACTCTGATGGTTCTCTATCTGCTGTAAATTTGATGTCTCCACTCTGATGGTTCTCTATCTGCTGTAAATTTGATGTCTCCACCCTGATGGTTCTCTATCTGCTGTAAATTTGATGTCTCCACCCTGATGGTTCTCTATCTGCTGTAAATTTGATGTCTCCACCCTGATGGTTCTCTATCTGCTGTAAATTTGATGTCTCCACCCTGATGGTTCTCTATCTGCTGTAAATTTGATGTCTCCACCCTGATGGATGGTTTTATCTGCTGTAAATTTGATGTCTCCATGGAGACACAGAGGTTCTCTATCTGATGGTTCTGATGGTTCTCTATAATCACCAGAGTGTACACCTATCTGTCTCAGTGGGTAAATTCACCAGAGTGTACACCTATCTGTCAGATACCACTACCAGATGACGGTATACACAGGCATGAGATAATCACTCTGGTACACCTATCTGTCAGTCACGGGTAAGATAATCACCAGAGTGTACACCTATCTGTCAGTCACGGGTAAGATAATGAGTGTACACCTATCTGTCAGTCACGGGTAAGATAATCACCAGAGTGTACACCTATCTGTCAGTCACGGGTAAGATAATCACCAGAGTGTACACCTATCTGTCAGTCACGGGTAAGATAATCATCAGAGTTCACACCTATCTGTCAGTCACGGGTAAGATAATCACCAGAGTGTACACCTATCTGTCAGTCACGGGTAAGATAATCAAGTGTACACCTATCTGTAATCACCAGAGTGTACACCTATCTGTCAGTCACGGGTAAGATAATCACCAGAGTGTACACCTATCTGTCAGTCACGGGTAAGATAATCACCAGAGTGTACACCTATCTGTCAGTCACGGGTAAGATAATCACCAGAGTGTACACCTATCTGTCAGTCACAGGTAAGATAATCACCAGAGTGTACACCTATCTGTCAGTCATGGGTAAGATAATCATTAGAGTGTACACCTATCTGTCAGTCACGGGTAAGATAATCACCAGAGTGTACACCTATCTGTCAGTCACGGGTAAGATAATCACCAGAGTGTACACCTATCTGTCAGTCATGGGTAAGATAATCATTAGAGTGTACACCTATCTGTCAGTCACGGGTAAGATAATCACCAGAGTGTACACCTATCTGTCAGTCACGGGTAAGATAATCATTAGATCGGGTAAGATAATCACCAGAGTGTACACCTATCAGTCAGTCACCGCTAATATCATCACCAGAGTGTACACCTATCTGTCAGTCACGGGTAAGATAATCACCAGAGTGTACACCTATCTGTCAGTCACGGGTAAGATAATCACCAGAGTGTACACCTATCTGTCAGTCACGGGTAAGATAATCACCAGAGTGTACACCTATCTGTCAGTCACGGGTAAGTTTAGTTAATCACCAGAGTGTACACCTATCTGTCAGTCACGGGTAAGATAATCACCAGAGTGTACACCTATCTGTCAGTCACGGGTAAGATAATCACCAGAGTGTACACCTATCTGTCAGTCACGGGTAAGATAATCACCAGAGTGTAGAGCTGAATGTCACACGTCTGAACTCAAGTCACAGTTTTGAAAAGCGATATGGCTGTCACGGGTAAGATAATCACCAGAGGTAAGATAATCACCAGAGTGTACACCTATCTGTGTCACGGGTAAGATAATCACCAGAGTGTACACCATCACCAGAGTGTCAGTCACGGGTAAGATAATCACCAGAGTGTACACCTATCTGTCAGTCACCGGTAAGATAATCACCAGAGTGTACACCTATCAGTCACGGGTAAGATAATCCAGAGTGTACACCTATCTGTCAGTCACGGGTAAGATAATCACCAGAGTGTACACCTATCTGTCAGTCACGGGTAAGATAATCACCAGAGTGTACACCTATCTGTCAGTCACGGGTAAGATAATCACCAGAGTGTACACCTATGTCACGGGTAAGATAATCACCAGAGTGTACACCTATCTGTCAGTCACGGGTAAGATAATCACCAGAGTGTACACCTATCTGTCAGTCACGGGTAAGATAATCACCAGAGTGTACACCTATCTGTCAGTCACGGGTAAGATAATCACCAGAGTCACCAGAGTGTACACCTATCTGTCAGTCACGGGTAAGATAATCACCAGAGTGTACACCTATCTGTCAGTCACGGGTAAGATAATCACCAGAGTGTACACCTATCTGTCAGTCACGGGTAAGATAATCATTAGAGTGTACACCTATCTGTCAGTCACGGGTAAGATAATCACCAGAGTGTACACCTATCTGTCAGTCACGGGTAAGATAATCACCAGAGAGTACACCTATCTGTCAGTCACGGGTAAGATAATCACCAGAGTGTACACCTATCTGTCAGTCACGGGTAAGATAATCACCAGAGTGTACACCTATCTGTCAGTCACGGGTAAGATAATCACCAGAGTGTACACCTATCTGTCAGTCACAGGTAAGATAATCACCAGAGTGTACACCTATCTGTCAGTCACGGGTAAGATAATCACCAGAGTGTACACCTATCTGTCAGTCACGGGTAAGATAATCACCAGAGTGTACACCTATCTGTCAGTCACGGGTAAGATAATCACCAGAGTGTACACCTATCTGTCAGTCACGGGTAAGATAATCACCAGAGTGTACACCTATCTGTCACATGTAAGATAATCACCAGAGTGTACACCTATCTGTCAGTCACGGGTAAGATAATCACCAGAGTGTACGGGTAAGATAATCACCAGAGTGTACACCTATCTGTCAGTCACGGGTAAGATAATCACCAGAGTGTACACCTATCTGTCAGTCACGGGTAAGATAATCAGTCACGGGTAAGATAATCACCAGAGTGTACACCTATCTGTCAGTCACGGGTAAGATAATCACCAGAGTGTACACCTATCTGTCAGTCACGGGTAAGATAATCACCAGAGTGTACACCTATCTGTCAGTCACGGGTAAGATAATCACCAGAGTGTACACCTATCTGTCAGTCACGGGTAAGATAATCACCAGAGTGTACACCTATCTGTCAGTCACGGGTAAGATAATCACCAGAGTGTACACCTATCTGTCAGTCACGGGTAAGATAATCACCAGAGTGTACACCTATCTGTCAGTCACGGGTAAGATAATCACCAGAGTGTACACCTATCTGTCAGTCACGGGTAAGATAATCATCAGAGTTCACACCTATCTGTCAGTCACGGGTAAGATAATCACCAGAGTGTACACCTATCTGTCAGTCACGGGTAAGATAATCACCAGAGTGTACACCTATCTGTCAGTCACGGGTAAGATAATCACCAGAGTGTACACCTATCTGTCAGTCACGGGTAAGATAATCACCAGAGTGTACACCTATCTGTCAGTCACGGGTAAGATAATCACCAGAGTGTACACCTATCTGTCAGTCATTAGAGTGTACACCTATCTGTCAGTCACGGGTAAGATTATCTCCAGAGTGTACACCTATCTGTCAGTCATGGGTAAGATAATCATTAGAGTGTACACCTATCTGTCAGTCACGGGTAAGATAATCACCAGAGTGTACACCTATCTGTCAGTCACGGGTAAGATAATCACCAGAGTGTACACCTATCTGTCAGTCACGGGTAAGATAATCACCAGAGTGTACACCTATCTGTCAGTCACGGGTAAGATAATCACCAGAGTGTACACCTATCTGTCAGTCACGGGTAAGATAATCACCAGAGTGTACACCTATCTGTCAGTCACGGGTAAGATAATCAGAGTGTACACCTATCTGTCAGTCACGGGTAAGATAATCACCAGAGTGTACACCTATCTGTCAGTCACGGGTAAGATAATCACCAGAGTGTACACCTATCTGTCAGTCACGGGTAAGATAATCACCAGAGTGTACACCTATCTGTCAGTCACGGGTAAGATAATCATTAGAGTGTACACCTATCTGTCACTATATACATACACTACATATCTATAATAAACTGCTACCATTTTTGTACCCAAGTTCCTAATGGGATAAAAGATGAGGTCAAACACTTTAAAAGTAGGTCTTGTAACCTTCTGTATGTCAGCAATAGCCCTTCACTGACTACACCTGGGGCTTGCCTTCTGTCATTGTAAATATTTCTTGTGATGGTGTAAAATGTTGTACTTAGATACCTGTTTAAATAGACATTTATTTCTCAAGGTCATACAAAGTGTCAACTTACACTTTATTTATGTCAGAGGAGTTCTTTTAACAAAAAGACACATTTCAATTTATAATGAAGTTGGACCTGTTGCCATGACTACCAGGTGATTGTTTAATTTGCCTGTGAGTTTGACAAGATTAACTTTGAATGAATGGTATATTTACTAACATCCTAAAGGTGATAGTAATAACATCTATGTAACAAATGTGCCACAGAAAATTGTACAATTTTAATGCTGACGAGAACTCGAGACCTTTTCATTATGGTCGTGATTTAGTTTGTATCTTTGATTTACTTGTTGTGACATCTGATGCAGATTCTGTTTCTTACTGAGAGTGCAGAGCTTTGTTGATTGTTTTCTAGCCACTGACTCGCGGTAGTGTAAATAACTACCTTCTGAGTGTGCCCTTTAACCTTGGAAATCTGACCTTCTTACGGATCTGGCATGACAACACTGGCAAAGGCAAGGATGCTGATTGGTACCTCAATATGGTGCTTATCAAAGACCTTCAGAACAACCAAAAGTAAGTTAGGTCAAGGTCACACCTATCAGAATCTCTTAAATATAAATATGTCTATTTTGAACTTAATGTTTTCAGAGAAGAAAATTGTAGATTTGTAAATTTTGGTATCTTCAAAAATTCAATCTTACTTCATTGGAAAGGAAAGTCTTCGCTTATCACACTGTCCTCTTGTGGCCATCTTTCCAGTTAAATTGAGTCTGATTTGTTAAACAAGGTCAATCTGAGTGTGTTGCAATGAGTGATACCGTTGTGTTTCCAGGTACGTGTTCCTATGTAACCAATGGCTTGCTGTAGACAAAGGTGACCAGCAGGTAGAGTGGCTACTTCCTGTTGCCACACAATCAGAACTGAGCAATTTTGACCATCTGTTTTACACAAGGACACGACAAGATCTGACCGATGGGCATCTGTGGATATCAGTTCTGTCTCGTCCAACACAGAGTGTGTTTACACGGGTACAAAGGCTGTCTTGTTGTCTCTCCCTTCTCTTCCTCACCATGGTAACTAATGCCATGTGGTATGGTACCATGGATACCACTCAGCAACAGAATGTTCACCTTGGTCCTTTTACCTTCTCAGGACAGGAGTTAATTACCAGCATAGCAGGTAGTCTTATCGTTGTTCCAGTCAGTATTATTATAATCACCCTGTTCAAAAAATCTGAGAGGCGTAGGTCCAAGCATGCAGACAAAATGTCTGAACCCAAAGAAGAGGAGTCAAACCACATAAACAGAATGATGTCTAAGCGAGGCCTGGATCAGTACTGTTCAGATGAGTGTTCTGATGAACGTGAGGGCTGTGTTACTCCAAGCGTGATAGATACTGCTCTCATTCAGCCATTCAACACGTATAATTCTTGGGCTGACTTTGAAAATAGAACGAGTCGTCTGATTAACAGCAGAAAGAATCAGCAGAAGTTATCTGAAGGAGGGAAGAAGAAGAAGCGGAATCCATTGCCGTTTTGGTGTCTGTATTTGTCATGGATTCTGGTGGTGCTATCGGTCCTTGCTTCAGGCTTCTTTGTCATCCTGTACAGTATAGAATGGGGGACGGAGAAGTCCTCACGATGGCTCACAGCCTTCTTCCTATCCTTCGTTGAGTCAGTCATCCTCATACAACCTCTCAAGGTAAGGAAGAATGTTCTCTACATATGGGGCAGCAAAATTCCTCTTATACAGTTCTCATGATGTTGTGTTCTAACCATTTTGTTGAAACTTTGATGAACATTTGTGTTTCTTCATTGACAGGTGGTATCAGTGGCTCTTATTCTAATTTTGGTGTTCAAACGCGTAGATGATGAAGATGAAGAAGCCTATGTGAACAAAATTGTCTCGCCTGAAATGATGGCAACAAATCGACTATCGCCATCTTATCCGGGTATGTTTTGGGATATTAATCTTCACATCTAGCTGACTAATAAATATAGAAATCTATCTGCTTGATCAGCTCTGATTTTAAGTTTGCTTTATCAGTGAGTCATAACAGAAAAAGAAGCATTAATTGCAGAATGATTGCCCATGGTTAAAATTTTTGTGTCCAGAGGATAACTTTGCTTGTATTCAAACTTGGATAATGAAATATGGTGTATACATTGGTAGTCTTAGGCGATGTGCATATTGTTAGTATTAAGACCAAGTGCAGTGCACAAAATTCAGGACTTGCAACCCTTTGATTACAGAGTTATCGCCCTTTGCTAAAATATTGTGTTGGAGCATAACTTTGCTTGCATTTAAAATAGGATAATGAAACTTTATTTCTTCATTTGTCATACCAAGATGATGCGCAGTATGGACAAGTTGGAACCAGCAACCCTTTAATTACTGTCCTTTCTTACTATTTTGTTTCCAGTTGTTTTTTTAAGGATCATCTGTTCATTAAAACAAATAAAACAATAATATTGTTTTCATTATGAACAAATTGATGTCATTGTATTTCACAATATAACTATGAAATTCAATCTTAATTTTTTTTTTGGGTTTTTTTTTGTTGATATTTTCAAGCTCATCGACGTCCATACCAACAAAACACTTCTGACTACAGTCAATTAGAAAGTGCCAGGAAACACCGTAAAAGGATGAATCGTCTTTTCAACATTGGGCGTGAATTAGGGGCTTATATAGTATACCTGGTTGTGGTCTGTATCCTGACATATGAGAACCGGAGTAAAAATGCATATCCAACCTATTCCCACCTTGAAAATACATTCCTGAAACCTCCAACAAAGTATCGTGCTAGCTTCATCAATGTAAGATTTCCTGTAATATCTAACAGATTCTCTAGAATCTATAGCATTTATTTTCTCTGTCTCTGATGTGTAGTAGTCTAAGGCACTTGATTTGTTACTTAGTGTTCATTTGTGTATGACACCACTGGGCCACAGGCCCCTGTAATAAGGTAGGACTGTGATTTGTGTATGAGCACCACTGGGCCACAGGCCCCTGTAATAAGGTAGGACTGTGATTTGTGTATGAGCACCACTGGGCCACAGGCCCCTGTAATAAGGTAGGACTGTGATTTGTGTATGAGCACCACTGGGCCACAGGCCCCGGTAATAATGTAGGACTGTGATTTGTGTATACAATTTCATAATTTGTGTAGCCTTTTGTTCTTAGATTTCCTCAGCTGAATATTTCTGGAATTGGGCTCATGACATATTGATCCCTGGACTTTACTCAGATGGCATGTACTCTGGTAATGATACAGCAGATTTCCAGGGTTATCTCAGTGACAACATCCATTACAGAGTGGGCACACCCAGACTGAGACAGGCGAGAGTCACACCAGGTATGGTTTTTAATTCAAATCACCAGTTTGAGCAATAAATATTTTTTATGACTATGGGATGAAGTGCTACCAATATTGTTTAAATGAACAAACTTGACCTCCTCTCAAGGTCACAGGGGTCAAATGTGTTCAAATCTTCATACAACTTCTCAATAATCCACGATATGTGGCCAGTAGCATGGTAAGATAAAGGGTTAACAAGGTTGTAAAAGTCCTTACAGTTGGCCATTAGGTAACTAAAATATTGTTTCAGAAATTTTACAAATAGGAAATTCATTAGATTAAGTGAGTATCTCTAGGCCAAATAAGCGTACGTTAACTGCCTGGAAATGTATAGGTAGGTATAGCTGTCTGTTCTCCCTAGTAGTACTACCCATGTATACTGTTTCTATCAACAGCTGATTGTACAATCCCAAGGGAGTTCAAGGAGTTCTTCAAACAATGTTACCCTGACTACGGACTGGACACCTATGACAGTAAGAGTTATGGCGAGGGCTGGAACACCTTGTCTCACAGTAACACTAGTCAAGCCTGGCAGTACCAGGACTCTCTACAACTCAATGGCTACCCTGTGGTTGGTACATATGACTCCTACGGTGGAGGCGGCTACGTCACCACTCTTGGTAACACCAACCAGACAGCTGTCGCTACGTTTGATTACCTACATGATGCGGGGTGGATTGACCGTAACACAAGGGCAGTCATGGTGGAAGCAAACATCTACAATCCCAATGTGAATCTCTTTAGTGTTATTTGTCTTGTTCTGGAGTTCCCAGCCTCAGGATCAATCATCCCGTTCTCCCAGATTTCTCCAGTTGTGCTCTACCGATATGTTGGGGCATCAGCTCTTTTTCTACTCATCATGGACTTCATCTTTGTGGCATTCACATTGTATTACCTGTACATTTTGATTAAAAAGATAAAACAAGAAAAATGTGCCTTTTTAAAACAGTTTTGGAATATTATAGACTTAATCAACATGGCATTTTCTATCACAGCATGTGTTTTCTATGGAATGCATTTCATCATGGTAGAACTGGCTACCAGTGACTTTCACAGAAATAAAGGTGAGTTAACACGTATGACTCCTATTTGAACCTCCAGTACATTGTGTTATGTTACTACTTACAGATGCCTATTTGAACCTCCAGTACATTGTGTTATGTTACTACTTACAGATGCCTATTTGAACCTCCAGTACATTGTGTTATGTTACTACTTACAGATGCCTATTTGAACCTCCAGTACATGTTATGTTACTACTTACAGATGCCTATTTGAACCTCCAGTACATTGTGTTATGTTACTACTTACAGATGCCTATTTGAACCTCCAGTACATGTTATGTTACTACTTACAGATGCCTATTTGAACCTCCAGTACATGTTATGTTACTACTTACAGATGCCTATTTGAACCTCCAGTACATGTTATGTTATGTGTTATGTTACTACTTACAGATGCCTATTTGAACCTCCAGTACATGTTATGTTACTACTTACAGATGCCTATTTGAACCTGCAGTACATTGTGTTATGTTACTACTTACAGATGCCTATTTGAACCTCCAGTACATGTTATGTTACTACTTACAGATGCCTATTTGAACCTCCAGTACATTGTGTTATGTTACTACTTACAGATGCCTATTTGAACCTCCAGTATATGGTGTTATGTTACTACTTACAGATGCCTATTTGAACCTCCAGTACATGTTATGTTACTACTTACAGATGCCTATTTGAACCTCCAGTACATTGTGTTATGTTACTACTTACAGATGCCTATTTGAACCTCCAGTACATTGTGTTATGTTACTACTTACAGATGCCTATTTGAACCTCCAGTACATGTTATGTTACTACTTACAGATGCCTATTTGAACCTCCAGTACATTGTGTTATGTTACTACTTACAGATGCCTATTTGAACCTCCAGTACATTGTGTTATGTTACTACTTACAGATGCCTATTTGAACCTCCAGTACATGTTGTGTTATGTTACAGATGACTATTTGAACCTCCAGTACATGTTATGTTACTACTTACAGATGCCTATTTGAACCTCCAGTACATTGTGTTATGTTACTACTTACAGATGCCTATTTGAACCTCCAGTACATTGTGTTATGTTACTACTTACAGATGCCTATTTGAACCTCCAGTACATGTTATGTTACTACTTACAGATGCCTATTTGAACCTCCAGTACATGGTGTTATGTTACTACTTACAGATGCCTATTTGAACCTGCAGTACATGGTGTTATGTTACTACTTACAGATGCCTATTTGAACCTCCAGTACATGTTATGTTACTACTTACAGATGCCTATTTGAACCTCCAGTACATGGTGTTATGTTACTACTTACAGATGCCTATTTGAACCTGCAGTACATCGTGTTGTGGGAAGCTTTGTATGGATATATGTTGGCCTTCCTTCTCTTCTTGTCCATGCTGAAGTTGTTACTGATTCTTCGCTTCAATCCTAAAATCACCCAGTTATCTGGGACACTGAAAAAGGCCAAGGGACCTATCTCAAGTTTTATGGTTGTGTTTGTGCTCACTTTTCTGGCGTTTGCTCAGTTTGGCTATTTGGTGTTTGGAAGGGTGGACCGTGGTTATTACACATTCATTGCAACTCTTGAAACACTCATGTCAATGCTGATGATGAAGATGGAGATTGACAACATGATCCTGGTCAATGGTCTGCTTGGATCACTGTTTGTGTTCCTGTTTGTAATGGTGATAGTCTTCATCCTTATAAACATGCTGTTGAGCATGATCAATGATGCGTTTACAGAAGTACGCAAGGATCCATCCTTCCTGCCAGATGACCCTGCCATGGCTACCTTCCTACTGGATCAAATAAAAGCTTTTGTCCTGGGTTACTATAAAGGTAAATAAGTCTATACTCTGGAACCTTGTTTGATGTTTCAGTTTGTATATTCTAAGGAATCAGAATATTTCCCAAAGAGTCCTACAAAAGAACTAGTCCAAAGTCTGTTTGGTAGGTGCTGCTTGTGTCCGAGAGGAATGATTTCTGTCCGTATTTCCCACATTCTATATTTGGTACGATTTATCACCTGTTTCTCCAATAGGACGAAGATATAACTCTGTAAATTAGTCTTATATTGTTACTGAAATCATGCTTTTCATTCTTTTTCTCTCTCTGGAGATTTCATCTCTGTTTATACCATCATTCTTACAGTCAACATTATTTCCTTCATGATTGAATTCATCTTCTCCTCCCTCGACATAGTATTCTACCCCATCCTCCATTATATCAGGTTAATTATCTCCCTTTGATATGCCTTTCTCTACATAATATGATATAATATAATATACAGGAATGAAAAAACAGGGTTTAACATTGATACAAATTTATAAGGAATTTGACTTGTGACTTTTGGCAACCTATCTACTAACCATTCAATTACACCCCCATGAAATCATAATTGTTTAATTTGTTTAATATGACTATATATATAATATATACTAAACTTTGTTTTTATAGACTCCACAGATAAAGGGAAGAAAGAGAAGACAAAGGAGAGTAAAAAAGATCTGGAGGAGAAAATAGATGACCTTGACCTTCGATTGCGGACATTCCTACAAGTTCTTCATAGAGACAGAATTTAACTTGTTGTAGTGTATTTTGTAGCAGAATTTTATTGATTTTAATTGAATGAAAAAACTTTTTATGACATTAACAGCCGATAAGATGAAGTTTCCATAAGTATACAAACTCCTGGTATTTCACCGAGCTGACTACACAAAAATGTTTTTATAAAGTTGACTTTGATATCATGATGATTGGATATGAGCAGGTTTTGTGACATTTACTAATAACTTGATTAATATAAAAAAAATAGAGTTGTTAATACATCAGTGTATGATTTTAAAGGAAATTTCTGAAGCATTCATACAGAATAAAATCCAACTAATCATAGTCAGATGACAGTAAGGCTCCTTAATTGTTATATTTTACAGGTATGTTTGAATGATATTAAGCCTCCTCTGAGAACATGGAGTGTTATTTCCTGTCTAATCCTCTAGCGACTATTAGGGACTTTGTTTGGACACAATGTCCACTATTAAGACAGGAATATTTATTAAGCCTCCTCTGAGAACATGGAGTGAATATTTATTAAGCCTCCTCTGAGAACATGGAGTGTTATTTCCTGTCTAATCCTCTAGCGACTATTAGGGACTTTGTTTGGACACAATGTCCACTATTAAGACAGGAATATTTATTAAGCCTCCTCTGAGAACATGGAGTGTTATTTCCTGTCTAATCCTCTAGCGACTATTAGGGACTTTGTTTGGACACAATGTCCACTATTAAGACAGGAATATCTAAAGTCACATGAAACCATTTCCAGAAATGATCTTGTAATATCAAAGATGCCCAGTATATGATTAACACTTCTAAACATCCATAACAACAATGACCTACATGTACAACTAATAACCCAGACCATTGTCGGCCAATAACCCAGATCACTGTCGGCCAATAACCCAGACCATTGCCAGCCAATAACCCAGACCATTTTCAGGCTATATACCCAATCATTGTTGGCCCATATACCCTGTCAGGCTATATACCCAATCATTGTTGGCCCATATACCCTGTCAGGCTATATACCCAATCATTGTTGGCCCATATACCCTGTCAGACTATATACCCCAGTCATTGACAGGCTATATACCCCAGTCATTGACAGGCTATATACCCCCGTCTTTGTCAGGCTATATACCCCGGTAACCGTCAGGCTATATACCCCGGTCTTTGTCAGGCTGTATACCCCGGTCATTGTCAGGCTATATACCCCTGTCACCGTCAGGCTATATACCCCAGTCACCGACGGGCTACATACCCCGGTCATTGACAGGCTACATACTCCGGTCACCGTCGGGCTGTATACCCCGGTCACCGGCGGGCTGACTACCCCGGTCACCGACGGGCTGTATACCCCGGTCTGTTGTTAATTTAATTGTTCTGTTTGGAGTTGGAGGATATAATATATTATCATACATCAGATACAGATTTCTTCTTTAATTGTCTGGATTACTTTGTTAATAGAAGTAGTATAATGTAGTCATAATTCTGTTGAGTTACTAACAAACTATTGGATGTTTTTGTTTTTGATGTTTTGGTAGCCTATTATCACCAGTTACCACTAATTTCGTGTTTCCCTTGGTCTCTATTTTGACAGTTGAAGTTTGTCCTAACTATTTGATGGATCATTTTCAAATTTGGGTACGACTCCCTGTTGGTCCCTAGTCATGCATGTAAAATTTTGGGACTGAACGGAAGAATAAAATGGCTGACATACGGCCATCTTGAATTTTTGAAAGTTTGTTAGCGCTGTCACCTAAGAAGAACCAAATGATCTTTCTTTATTTCCACATGTTTACTCCTCTCTTGGTCCTTTGGTAACTGTGATAGAAGACACCTGGGCTGGTGTATGGTGTATTTTGCTCATAGGAATGATCTTGATTGATTTCTAAGGTAACATGGGTCAAATATGTTAAAAACTTTAAGAACCTTCTTCTCAAGTTCCAGAAGACCCAGGGTACTGATATTTGGCAAGGTAGTATGGTACATGGGTAAGCTTCCTCGTATAAATGACCTTTACCAATTTCAATGTCTCAGGGGTCAAATATGTTAAAAACATTTAAGAGTCATCTCAAGTTTCAGAAACCTTAGGATCCCAAAAATTTGTAAGCAGGTAAAAGTGTCAAGTGGTGGAGTAATACAAATGTTCAAATAATCATTTGAGAGATACATGCCCTGAGGGCCTCTTGTTTGACCATTACATACAGGAGAACAATATGGTGTTACCTCTTAATAAGATACTGTAAGATCTGTGTTATGGCTTGTGCTGCAATCAGGATTATAGAACCTTAAAAATGATTTTATTACAATGTAGTTTGTTTTGACTATTATGTTTTTACCCAACTTCTCATCATGCAGAAATATGAGTTTAAATCATTGCTGTAGACAAATTTGTGTTTTACTTTTGATACTGTTTTAAATGTCAAAACTTTTGGCTTGTGCTGCAATCAGGATTATAGAACCTTAAAAATGATTTTATTACAATGTAGTTTGTTTTGACTATTATGTTTTTACCCAACTTCTCATCATGCAGAAATATGAGTTTAAATCATTGCTGTAGACAAATTTGTGTTTTACTTTTGATACTGTTTTAAATGTCAAAACTTTTGGCTTGTGCTGCAATCAGGATTATAGAACCTTAAAAATGATTTTATTACAATGTAGTTTGTTTTGACTATTATGTTTTTACCCAACTTCTCATCATGCAGAAATATGAGTTTAAATCATTGCTGTAGACAAATTTGTGTTTTACTTTTGATACTGTTTTAAATGTCAAAACTTTTGGTTTGATATAAAATTTCAGATTTAGAGCATGCTGAATATTTCAGTTTACAACGAGGGACTATTTTTGTCCTGAATGTATATTAATTACTGATTGTCCAATAAATGCTGATTAAAATGAATATACAAAACTTCACTTGTTATTTAAGCTTCAATGTTTGATATAAAAGTGTTTCCTCAGTGAACATTTTTATTGAGCCTGACTAAAACATATTACTTCGCCATAAGTTTCATGTGTATGTAGAGAGAATGTTCCCACAAAAGAGTTATACCCACTAAACTTATTCAAACTTTTAAATACAAAAACAATTTGATAGTTCATTCAAATAATCCTTACACTAAAAGATTCATTAGTCTCCACATACACTATAGGAATCATTGCCATACGAAAAAAGCCCCCTTACTATAACATATACACAAAAGGGCTCCAATTTTTTCAGTCAAGTATTTGTATCTGAACCCACTAATGATGATATACCAAGAATTCCAAACAAAACGACAACTGTGGACATGATACCACTCCATATCAATAAACAGCAAGTGCATGAGTATCTTTCTAAGCTGAAACCAGATAAGTCACCAGGACTTGATGAAATACATCCCGCATATCTAAAAAACACAGCGAGCTCTGTAAGCAGACCAATATCAATTCTTTTCAACCAATCACTATCAACTGGGGACCTACCACTAGATTGGAAAAAAGCAAAGGTTTGTGCCATTTACAAGAAGGGCGACAAAAGCGAAGCCGGAAATTACCGCCCTGTAAGCCTGACATCAGTGATCTGTAAGATTATGGAGAGTATTATAAGGGAACATATAACAAAACAAATGAGGATTAATGATTATTTTTCAACAAAACAATATGGATTTATAACTGGAAGATCTACTTCTCTTCAGCTACTGGAGGTGCTAGACAAATGGACGGAAGCACTTGATGAGGGCCATGCTGTTGATTGCATATATATGGATTACAAGAAGGCTTTCGATACCGTTCCTCATCTGCGTCTAATCAACAAGCTTGTCTCTTATGGGTTATCAAAACAGTTGATATTATGGATTTCAAACTTTTTACAAGGTCGCCAACAAAGGGTTACAGTGAATGAAGAAGTCTCAGATTGGCAAAATGTTACTTCCGGTATACCTCAGGGATCAGTCTTGGGGCCACTCCTTTTTGTCATCTTCATCAATGAACTGCCAGACTTGGTGAACTCAGAAATGTACCTTTTTGCAGATGACACTAAGATATTCAAAATTTTGTCTAAGGAGGGAGATTCAACAAAACTGCAAAAAGACTTAGATATTATGTGTAACTGGAGCGAGGAGTGGCTGCTGAAAATGCACCCGGACAAGTGCAAACATATGCGTATAGGAACACATACAGATATGGCTATATACCATCTAAATGGAAATCAACTTCAGACAACATCGAAGGAGAAAGATATTGGAGTTATTTTTGAGTCTGACTTGAGTTTTGAAAATCATATCAGTGAGAAAGTGAAAAAAGCTAACTCAATGTTTGGGATGCTAAGAAGAACTTTCCAGTTTATGGACATCAAATTATTCATTCCATTATATAAATCGCTTGTTAGATCCCAGCTAGACTACGCAAGTGCAGTATGGTATCCCTACAAATACAAATATATAGATCTTATTGAAAATGTTCAAAGAAGAGCAACGCGGTGCCTACCTGAATTACGGAATTTATCATATGAAGAAAGATTAAAAACACTAAAACTGCCTACCTTGGCCTATAGACGCTTGCGAGGTGACATGATCGAGATATATAAAATGATCAGCGGGGTGTACGACAAAGAGTGCTGTACATGCATAAAGTTATGGGAGAACATGTCCGATAAACACATTGTTAGAGTAAACTCAAAAAAACTTTTTCCACAAAGAGCTAAATCTAAACTAAGAAGTAATTACTTTTCTGTGAGAGCAGCACGCATTTGGAACACATTACCAGAAACTGTTGTATCTGCCTCAAACACAAACTGTTTCAAAAATAGGCTTGATAAGTTATGGGAAAACCAAGATATCATTTTTAATTATAGAGCTGATATATCAATATAGACTGTCTTAATAGTAATTCAACGGAACTAAAAGCTGGACATATTATTTTGATTTGTACATACTATATTTATTATATGAAATATCATGTATATATATTGTATGTTTTTTGAGACCAGAGTAGAGGATAGGTATATCCTGTTCTGGTAATAAACTTAACTTAACTTAACTTAATAACATTACATAAAAGGGCTATTTTACCATATCACATACATGAAAAGGGCCCTTAGACTGGAACATACAATACAAGACGCTTGCCATACCACATAAACAAAAGGATCTTATCATAACCTTTAAGAGCCTTAGAATGAGATGTCTAAGATGTTGCGTAATTGGATAATGTGTGTGGTGGTGTTCGCATCCACTGCCGTTGGCATACCATATATATGAGATTAACTTCACCAAATTACCATACAACATTTACTATACTGTTCATTCATGGAGAATTTTACCTTAGCACTCATTATCAAATAAAATTGCCATACAAGCCTTATTAGTCAGAAAAAATGATAATTTAAAAATACCGCCCAGGCATCTTTAAGATAGGAAAAAAAATACGAAAATAAATGTTTAGCTTTACACTAATGGCCGCCTCCTTCAATGAGAGTACGACTACGGGAGGAGACGTTGTGTAATTCTTTACATAATTCTGGCGTGCTAAAACATTCAAGGGTTTGTACTTGTAAATGTTGTATTCAATAGATGATACTGATAATTACCAGTGACAAACTGAAGGCTGTCGCTTTGAACGTTGTTTGTTTCATCACTCTTTAACAGCAGTGATATGAACTATATTTTTCCGCGCATTGTGTTTTTTGCATTGTCCACAGTATCAAATTAATGTTATTCACGACTAGAATTGAATTTTACTGAGAAAAAGAAAACTTCTGTTGAGAGTGTACGATGCAGCGGCCCAGATGTTGCTTAAGTTCCATGTGGCCCCAGCATCGGCATTTACATAGACATCTTGACGGACAGATAACATACATATATGTCTCAAAATAGATCTTGCAGTGTTCGGACCGGAAGTGTTATCAGCCACCAAGCATTGTTTCAGAGTCCAGTATCTAACATATTTCAAATCAGGGCTCTGTCACAGCTCATAAGGCTATCATCATTTTTATCTTGTGGTTTATTAACAAATAAGAACATAGTTATAAAGCATTGATGCTTCCTTTCTTCAAATACACCACTTCTGTATGGGACCTCTACCAGAAGCCCTTATGCAGATCAGTTGTGTGAGACCCTACCAGAAGCCCTCATACAGATCAGTTTGATACATGCAAACTGCAAATAGTGACCAGAACATATTAAAACCCCTTCTTTATCAAACTGACTGGAACTGACCCTCAAACACAGCTATGAATTGTGACTTTGTTGAAGCATCCAAAGTGGTCCTCAAATCGCAAAATGGCTAACATCCTTAGTATGCTCACCTGGCTGCAACTATGCCAGTTGGATTTCCAGCAGCATAACCATACACATACTGAAATACATTTAAACCAGTTATCCTGGGGTGGAGTAGTGGATCCAGAACCCAGCAGCTAACATTCATATTGAGTCGGGGCCATTGCAAGGCAGCCTACAACTTTAAGTAGCCCACCTTGTAACAGATTTATTTCCTCATTTGTTTCAAAAAGACCAACACAGAGGTCTGGATTGCAATTGGTTTGATGCTTTCCTTTGTTAAATCTTTATCAATTTTGACTTGTTCAAACTTAATGCAGCGACAGTATGTTGAAGTAAAGCATTCTAGGTATCAATAATTTGACAGCTGAACCAATATTTTGTGGTTGACAATTTTGACTTCAATATCTTGAATGCCTTTGAGTATGAAATAGTTTTTATGAATGAATTCTTGTATGTTTGTATCTGTTTCGAATCTCTCCTGGGATTTTTGTGTTACAATGGCTTATGATGTGAACTGGAATCTCAAAGTTGACTTAATATTTACACTAGTACAATTTCAATTGATTTTCATGTCCAAACTTTCAATCTTTGATCACATGTTAGTATCCAGTATTGTATTATTTTATGTCACTATACTTTCAGAGCCTTAAAATCAGATGTCTAAGATGCTGCGTAATTTGATGAAGTGTGTGGTGGTGTTAGCATCTAGTGCTGTAGCCTTACCATATACTGTCTCAGTTCTGTGTAATGTTCTGTATGGATGGCCACAATCAAGACACAAATTCCGCAGGGCTTTTCAACCCAAAAAAGTGTATGCATTGAACTATGCTATGCTTCAATGTCTTATAATGCAGTTACGCTACATTCCTCGTTACATACAGTGGAACATGTTTTACAGATCAGCAGATCAGTCCAAGTTACGCAAGGTAAGAAATCTGGGGTTGGTCTTATAAAGCTGATCACAATAGGATATCAAAATTTAGGAGTAAAAAGAAAAAAAGTTAATTTAGAAGGAGCAATGAGCCCAACAACTATGATGATGCTGTTGAATGTGATATATCCACTACAGACATATCAGTATTAAACTAATCTTGGTTTAATTGCAGAACTTTGTATATGGAAGAAACAATCATAATCTTGATCTGTATATGCCTGATGTGCGAGGTCTACAGCCTGCCAGACCTCACCCAGTTCTGGTGTTTGTTTATGGAAGAGAATGGTGCTCAGGTGACAAGAATATGTATGGGATGTTATGTTCTGAACTTGCAAATAGACTCCAGGTTTTGGTTTGCTGTCCCAACTATTCCATCTATCCACAAGTAAGAATCACACATCTTCCCTCTGTATGTGTTTGCCTTAGTTGATATTATCTCAATTCTTTCCTATTGAAAGGTAAAAGGAAACAATCATGGATAGTCAGGAAAATGTTAGAAACCTAAATTTGGTTAATTATTGATTGAAATTTCTTTTGATATATTGAAATTGTCAGAAAGACTTTGTTGTTTACATCCCTTGAATGACTGGAAGGCTTTTTAATCTGAAACATACAAATTATAACTTACACTACTCAGAAGTCTAGAATTGTAACTTACCCCCGTGGAAAGAATTGGTTTATACTCTACATAGGAGTCTAGATGAATTGATTATATCACTAGGGAGACTAGACTTGCTATTTACTCTGAATATGAGTGGGGAAGAGGGTTGATTATACTACAAGGGAAAATAAAATGTTTGTATAGACTTTAACATTATGTCTTTGTTTTGGATGTAAAATTGAAGTATGTATTTCAGACATGAATAAAATTGTGTGTTGGTTTGACTGTAGGGTTATGTGGATGATATGGTCCAGGATGTGGTAGACTGTGTATCATGGGCATACCAAAACATAGATGTCTATAGTGGAGATAAGGTAGGTCACACCAAAGCATAGAGGTCATAACAATGATTTGTCTGGATGTATATAAAACAAATGTAATGTGCCACTCTTAACTCCATTCATCTGAATGTATATAAAACAAATATAATGTGCCACACTTTACTCCATTTGTCTTGATGTATATAAAACAAATATAATGTGCCACACTTTACTCCATTTGTCTTGATGTATATAAAACAAATATAATGTGCCACACTTTACTCCATTCATCTTGATGTATATAAAACAAATATAATGTGCCACACTTTACTCCATTCTTCTTGATGTATGTAAAACAAATATAATGTGCCACACTTAACTCCATTCTTCTTGATGTATGTAAAACAAATATAATGTGCCACACTTTACTCCATTCTTCTTGATGTATGTAAAACAAATATAATGTGCCACACTTTACTCCATTCATCTTGATGTATATAAAACAAATATAATGTGCCACACTTTACTCCATTTGTCTTGATGTATATAAAACAAATATAATGTGCCACACTTTACTCCATTCATCTTGATGTATATAAAACAAATATAATGTGCCACACTTTACTCCATTCTTCTTGATGTATGTAAAACAAATATAATGTGCCACACTTAACTCCATTCTTCTTGATGTATGTAAAACAAATATAATGTGCCACACTTTACTCCATTCATCTTGATGTATGTAAAACAAATATAATGTGCCACACTTAACTCCATTCTTCTTGATGTATGTAAAACAAATATAATGTGCCACACTTTACTCCATTCATCTTGATGTATGTAAAACAAATATAATGTGCCACACTTTACTCCATTCATCTTGATGTATATAAAACAAATATAATGTGCCACACTTAACTCCATTCTTCTTGATGTATATAAAACAAATATAATGTGCCACACTTTACTCCATTTGTCTGGATGTATATAAAACAAATATAATGTGCCACACTTAATTCCATTCATCTTGATGTATATAAAACAAATATAATATTATAATATGCTACATCCTACTCATGGATCAAGTTTATAAACACATTGTAAATACAGGTACAATATGCCTCTTGTTGCTATTTTCTACACAGGAAAGAATTATGCTGGTTGGACACTCAGACGGTGCTCATCTATGTATGATGGCTGTGCTGGAACTTCTTCATGATGAGCTGCTACAGGAAGGTATCAGTCAGTCTCAACTGATGCTACAAGAGAGTCTAAGGTTTCAGGACTCACACTTTGATGGCAGTAAGAGGAGCAGGATTGACACTCTAGATGAAAGTTCAGGGTCATCAGGGTCATTCTGTGTGCTCAATGATAATGGGGACAAAGGGGGTCCTCTTGACCCAAGTGGGGCAACAAGTATGTATGAAATGATATCAATAAAATCAGACAAAAATGAAAATGCTGAGAGCACTGAACAGGTGTCTGGAGATGCAAAAATCCAGTGCAAGGATGATGACGAGGAAGAGGTGGCTCCAGACAGTCAAGGGGGTGCCATGAACAGACAGGTCAGCCAGGATGTATCTGAGGTCAAAGTAGAAGTCACAGAGGTCAGTGGTGAGGAGGTCACAGATGTCAAGGAAGAAGTCAGACATTCTGGGAAAGTAGTGGAGGAAGAAGAGGAAGAACACAGTGAAAATGAATCTATAGTGACAATCAGACCTCGAGATTCAGAATGTCATCCAACATTACTGGAGTTGGGAAAATCCATTAAAGCTGTAGTAGGTAAGTAGATATATGGCCATTGAAACTTACTAAAGAACACTTGGTGAATAAACCAGACTGACAGACTCTGAATTTTATCCAGATTCACAACCAATTCAGGAAAAAGAGAGAGTAATCATTATAAAACCACACAAATTTTTATTTGAGTTGATAGAATAGGAGTACACTGGATGGCTGTAATTGTTAGTGAGTGTAAGCCATACTGGATGGCTGTAATTATTAGTGAGTGTAAGCCATACTGGATGGCTGTAATTATTAGTGAGTGTAAGCCATACTGGATGGCTGTAATTATTAGTGAGTGTAAGCCATACTGGATGGCTGTAATTATTAGTGAGTGTAAGCCATACTGGATGGCTGTAATTATTAGTGAGTGTAAGCCATACTGGATGGCTGTAATTATTAGTGAGTGTAAGCCATACTGGATGGCTGTAATTATTAGTGAGTGTAAGCCATACTGGATGGCTGTAATTGTTAGTTAACCATAAGTCATACTGGATGGCTGTAATTATTAGTGAGTGTAAGCCATACTGGATGGCTGTAATTATTAGTGAGTGTAAGCCACACCTGATGTATGAGTGTAAGCCATACTGGATGGCTGTAATTGTTATTTAACCATAAGTCATACTGGATGGCTGTAATTATTAGTGAGTGTAAGCCATACTGGATGGGCTGATGTATGTAATTATTAGTGAGTGTAAGCCATACTGGATGGCTGTAATTATTAGTGAGTGTAAGCCACTGGATGGCTGTAAGATGGCTGTAATTATTAGTGAGTGTAAGCCATACTGGATGGCTGTAATTATTAGTGAGTGTAAGCCATACTGGATGGCTGTAATTATAAGCCATACTGGATGGCTGTAATTGTTAGTTAACCATAAGTCATACTGGATGGCTGTAATTATTAGTGAGTGTAAGCCATACTGGATGGCTGTAATTATTAGTGAGTGTAAGCCATACTGGATGGCTGTAATTATTAGTGAGTGTAAGCCACACCTGATGTATGTAATTATTAGTGAGTGTAAGCCATACTGGATGGCTGTAATTATTAGTGAGTGTAAGCCACACCTGATGTATGTAATTATTAGTGAGTGTAAGCCATACTGGATGGCTGTAATTATTAGTGAGTGTAAGCCACACCTGATGTATGTAATTATTAGTGAGTGTAAGCCATACTGGATGGCTGTAATTATTAGTGAGTGTAAGCCACACCTGATGTATGTAATTATTAGTGAGTGTAAGCCATACTGGATGGCTGTAATTATTAGTGAGTGTAAGCCACACCTGATGTATGTAATTATTAGTGAGTGTAAGCCATACTGGATGGCTGTAATTATTAGTGAGTGTAAGCCACACCTGATGTATGTAATTATTAGTGAGTGTAAGCCATACTGGATGGCTGTAATTATTAGTGAGTGTAAGCCACACCTGATGTATGTAATTATTAGTGAGTGTAAGCCATACTGGATGGCTGTAATTATTAGTGAGTGTAAGCCATACTGGATGGCTGTAATTGTTAGTTAACCATAAGTCATACTGGATGGCTGTAATTATTAGTGAGTGTAAGCCATACTGGATGGCTGTAATTATTAGTGAGTGTAAGCCATACTGGATGGCTGTAATTATTAGTGAGTGTAAGCCATACTGGATGGCTTTAATTGTTAGTGAGTGTAAGCCATACTGGATGGCTGTAATTATTAGTGAGTGTAAGCCATACTGGATGGCTGTAATTATTAGTGAGTGTAAGCCACACCTGATGGCTGTAATTATTAGTGAGTGTAAGCCACACCTGATGTATGTAACTGGCTTTCTCACTTATGATTTACTTTAGTTCTAGCAGTGAGTTGACTTCATGGAGTATGTCACAAATGTAGCCTAATCTTTAAGCAAGATTATTTTGTACTGAACACAGTTGACACACTTGTTGACTGTGTTTGATATAAACATCCTTTAATTACTTCTAGAGATACTTTTGAGTTATCACTATTGCTGTATTTGATTGGTTGACAGTTGTAAGTTTTAAAACACTTTTTCTAAAAGAAAACAACATGCTTTAAATAATTTTCTATCCAATTTCAGATTGACAACTTAAAAAAAATAATTACGTTTGTCATAATCATTCTGATTAATGAAAATCCTTTTTCTAAAATCTGGATATTTTTTGTTGTGTACAGGACTTGCAGGGATATATGATATAAATGACCATTTTGAACATGAGAGTTTCCGAGGTGTTGAAGATGTGTCCTATATGGCCAGAGCAATGTATGGAAATGAACACTTTGAACGATTCTCCCCTTCATCACTGGTGAGAACTCTGTCAAGCAGTGTCAGGTAAGAATATTAACATCCTCCCTATTTAGTGAGGGAGCCTCTAGGTACTAACAGGAGGACCCATCTTAAAATGGCTGGCTGTTCAAAGACGGATAAAGCCTACAGGTGTTTAATCTTAATGAAATTAAACAATTATCTTAACACAACTGATATAGATGACCTGTTTTCCTCGTGAACATTTCTTCTACAAATAATTTGATTATGATGAATGTCCACATTCATTTCAACTTTTGCTATAATTATATATATATATATAGAGAGAGAGAGAGAGACAGAGAGAGACACACACACACACACAGAGAACAATCAGGGAGAAATCCCTAAACATGTTTTATATGATATAGATAGAACAATCAGGGAGAAATCCCTAAATATGTTCTATATATAGGACAAATGGGGAGAAATCCCTGAACATGTTCTATATGATATAAATAGAACAATCAGGGAGAAATCTCTAAACATGTTCTATATGATATAAATAGAACAATCAGGGAGAAATCCCTAAATATGTTCTATATATAGGACAAATGGGGAGAAATCCCTGAACATGTTCTATATGATATAAATAGAACAATCAGGGAGAAATCCCTAAACATGTTCTATATGATATAAATAGAACAATCAGGGAGAAATCCCTAAACATGTTTTATATGATATAAATAGAACAATCAGGGAGAAATCTCTAAACATGTTATATATGATATAAATAGAACAATCAGGGAGAAATCCCTAAACATGTTTTATTTGATATAAATAGAACAATCAGGGAGAAATCCCTAAACATGTTTTATATGATATAAATAGAACAATCAGGGAGAAATCTCTAAACATGTTTTATATGATATAAATAGAACAATCAGGGAGAAATCCCTAAATATGTTTTATATATAGGACAAATGGGGAGAAATCCCTGAACATGTTCTATATGATATAAATAGAACAATCAGGGAGAAATCCCTGAATATGTTCTATATATAGGACAATCAAAGAGATTTCCTTTAATACCGGGTATGTTCTAATTTTAGAATAATCCACGAAAATAACAAAACATGTTTTATATAACTAGGACAATCAATAGCAACTCAACAAACAGTCTCTAAGAAATCTCAAAATTCTGTTGTTCTATATACTGCCTGTTCTGTTGCTATGATAACCAATGATAAATCCTTATTAAGCCTGTTCTGTTGCTATGATAACCAATGAGAAATCCTTAGTAAGCCTGTTCTGTTGCTATGATAATCGATGAGAAATCCTTAGTAAGCCTGTTCTGTTGCTTTGATAACCAATGAGAAATCCTTATTAAGCCTGTTCTGTTGCTATGATAACCAATGAGAAATCCTTAGTAAGCCTGTTCTGTTGCTTTGATAACCAATGAGAAATCCTTATTAAGCCTGTTCTGTTGCTATGATAACCAATGAGAAATCCTTAGTAAGCCTGTTCTGTTGATATGATAACCAATGTGAAATCCTTAGTAAGCCTGTTCTGTTGCTTTGATAACCAACGTGAAATCCTTATTAAGCCTGTTCTGTTGCTATGATAACCAATGAGAAATCCTTAGTAAGCCTGTTCTGTTGCTATGATAACCAATGAGAAATCCTTAGTAAGCCTGTTCTGTTGCTATGATAACCAATGAGAAATCCTTATTAAGCCTGTTCTGTTGCTATGATAACCAATGAGAAATCCTTAGTAAGCCTGTTCTGTTGTTTTGTAGTTTACCACCAGTAATTATGATCCATGGCACTGAGGACTACATCGTTCCCCTGTCGTCCACGACCAAAATGGCTGAAGCTATACAGGAGATTTATGGTGACGTGACAGTCCGAGTTTTACCTGGTTGTGACCACTACAGTGTATGCTACGACATCATGGACTCTAACAGTAAATACTATGAAAGTGTGCTTGGTGTAATCTTAGAAACTGCTGCCAAAGTGCTAAAATAAGTGTTAGTAGTTTCTAGTCAGAAATAATCACATTGTCTTTCAAATTCTTGTGTAGATTATGCTGCATTTTGATTACCAGGTATGTATGATTGGGATGTTTTCTGATGTTTTTGGGTTAAATGTACTTTTGTATGCTAGACTGGACATTGAGAGGTCTTCTATAGTGTCATGGCTTGGTAACAGTGGTATAATGGAGAGGTGCTGTATAGTGTCATGTCTACATAAGGCTTGGTAACAGTGGTATAATGGAGAGGTGCTGTATAGTGTCATGTCTACATAAGGCTTGGTAACAGTGGTATAATGGAGAGGTGCTGTACAGTGTCATGTCTACATAAGGCTTGGTAACAGTGGTATAATGGAGAGGTGCTGTACAGTGTCATGTCTACATAAGGCTTGGTAACAGTGGTATAATGGAGAGGTGCTGTACAGTGTCATGTCTACATAAGGCTTGGTAACAGTGGTATAATTGTCATGTAATGAACACATTTTTATCCGACAAGCTCTATCATACATGTCTTATGTAACACATTGTTACCTGACAGGCCCCTATTCTGCATTATCCAAGTAAACATTTAATTATTAAATTGTTATCTCACTATATATCAATCTCATGAATCTGATGTTCTTATGTGACATTCCTAATTTCTGTGATCCTGGAGAACAAACTAACATTTGTCTTTTACACTTTTACAGAGGGTTACACTGATGTGAGACATGTCTAACAGAGGCTTACATTGATGTGAGACATGTCTAACAGAGGCTTACATGATGTGAGACATGTCTAACAGAGGCTTACACTGATGTGAGACATGTCTAACAGAGCTTACATTGATGTGAGACATGTCTAACAGAGGCTTACACTGATGTGAGACATGTCTAACAGAGGCTTACATTGATGTGAGACATGTCTAACAGAGGCTTACATGATGTGAGACATGTCTAACAGAGGCTTACACTGATGTGAGACATGTCTAATAGAGGCTTACATTGATGTGAGACATGTCTAACAGAGGGTTACATTGATGTGAGACATGTCTAACAGAGGGTTACACTGATGTGAGACATGTCTAACAGAGGCTTACATTGATGTGAGACATGTCTAACAGAGGCTTACACTGATGTGAGACATGTCTAACAGAGGCTTACATTGATGTGAGACATGTCTAACAGAGGGTTACATGATGTGAGACATGTCTAACAGAGGCTAACATGATGTGAGACATGTCTAACAGAGGCTTACATGATGTGAGACATGTCTAACAGAGGCTTACATTGATGTGAGACATGTCTAACAGAGGGTTACACTGATGTGAGACATGTCTAACAGAGGCTTACGTTGATGTGAGACATGTCTCACAGGAGCTTACACAATGTGAGACATGTCTAACAGAGGGTTACATGATGTGAGACATGTCTAACAGAGGGTTACATGATGTGAGACATGTCTAACAGAGGCTTACATGATGTGAGACATGTCTAACAGAGGCTTACGTTGATGTGAGACATGTCTCACAGGAGCTTACACAATGTGAAACATGTCTAACAGAGGCTTACATTGATGTGAGACATGTCTAACAGAGGCTTACATTGATGTGAGACATGTCTAACAGAGGCTTACATGATGTGAGACATGTCTAACAGAGGCTTACATGATGTGAGACATGTCTAACAGAGGCTTACATGATGTGAGACATGTCTAACAGAGGCTTACATTGATGTGAGACATGTCTAACAGAGGCTTACATTGATGTGAGACATGTCTAACAGAGGCTTACATTGATGTGAGACATGTCTAACAGAGGCTTACATTGATGTGAGACATGTCTAACAGAGGCTTACATTGATGTGAGACATGTCTAACAGAGGCTTACATTGATGTGAAACATGTCTAACAGAGGCTTACATTGATGTGAGACATGTCTAACAGAGGCTTACATGATGTGAGACATGTCTAACAGAGGCTTACATGATGTGAGACATGTCTAACAGAGGCTTACATGATGTGAGACATGTCTAACAGAGGCTTACATGATGTGAGACATGTCTAACAGAGGCTTACATGATGTGAGACATGTCTAACAGAGGCTTACATTGATGTGAGACATGTCTAACAGAACAGAGGCTTACATTGATGTGAGACATGTCTAACAGAGGCTTACATTGATATCAGACATGTCTAACAGAGGCTTACATTGATGTGAGACATGTCTAACAGAGGCTTACATTGATGTGAGACATGTCTAACAGAGGCTTACACTGATGTGAGACATGTCTAACAGAGGCTTACATTGATGTGAGACATGTCTAACAGAGGCTTACATGATGTGAGACATGTCTAACAGAGGCTTACATGATGTGAGACATGTCTAACAGAGGCTTACATTGATGTGAGACATGTCTAACAGAGGCTTACATTGATGTGAGACATGTCTAACAGAGGCTTACATTGATGTGAGACATGTCTAACAGAGGCTTACATTGATGTGAGACATGTCTAACAGAGGCTTACGTTGATGTGAGACATGTCTCACAGGAGCTTACACGATGTGAAACATGTCTCACAGGAGCTAACATCTCAAAGAGGCTTACATGATGTGAAATATATCACAAAGGCTTACATTGATGTGAAACATGTCTCACAGAGGCTTACATCAATGTGAAACATGTCTCACAGGAGCTTACATTGATGTGAGACATGTCTCACAGAGGCTTACATTGATGTGAGACATGTCTAACAGAGGCTTACATTGATGTGAGACATGTCTAACAGAGGCTTACATTGATGTGAGACATGTCTAACAGAGGCTTACATGATGTGAGACATGTCTAACAGAGGCTTACGTTGATGTGAGACATGTCTAACAGAGGCTTACATTGATGTGAGACATGTCTAACAGAGGCTTACATTGATGTGAGACATGTCTAACAGAGGCTTACATTGATGTGAGACATGTCTAACAGAGGCTTACATGATGTGAGACATGTCTAACAGAGGCTTACATGATGTGAGACATGTCTAACAGAGGCTTACATGATGTGAAGCATAGCTGGCTTAAGATAATATTGTTGTAAAAGATGTGATTACTGTGAATTATTGAAGCAATGCATTCTTGTTAGTCTTTAATCATTTGTAAACGATTGTTATATAGTTGTTAATTAGTCATAATTTGAACAAATTGCCTGTAATGGTGACTAAGAGATTTGTCATCACACATGATTTTTTATGTCCTAATTCAGCATCTGTGTGATATTTCGCTTTACTTATCATTAACTCAGGACAGTGTGATCTATAGGTCAAGAGGTTCTGTTTATCACCTTTAAGTTCTGTTTATCACCTTTAGGTTCTGTTTATCACCTTTAGGTTCTGTTTATCACCTGCTTATAGAATTCCCTTTAATATTGACCAGGTATTCTTGTGAAGTGTCAGGCTTACAGAAGTTATTTACTTGAGTTATGATTTTAGCTGTTTTAAGTTATATGTTTAATCTGATCTTTTATTTTTTGCTATTGTTGAATAATAATAATTTTTAGTGGGGTATTATCAAAACTACATCATGTCGTCATATATTTGTGTTTTTCCATATAAAGTCACTTTTATTTTCACTCATAAAAGCTCCATGTTTTCTTTTCTGCACCTGTATTCTAAACGTTCAAGAAGTAATCTTCTTAAAATATCAAAGATAAATACATCTGATGTTTTAAGATGAGGACTTCTTGTAAGTTTAGAAAACAGGTGTCTCACAGATCTGTATTTACAGATACTATAGTACTACACATTGTCTGTGTTAACAGATGGTATGAGAGATTGGTTGTCAGCTGTTAACTAATGATGTAGGATAATGTAACCCTACCAGTAATACTGTTAATTGTAATCAGGTCAGTTCTGGTTATTGATCAGGTTATTGATCAGGTCAGTTCTGGTTATTGATCAGGTCAGTTCTGGTTATTGATCAGGTTATTGATCAGGTCAGATCTGGTTATTGATCTGGTTATTGATCAGGTCAGTTCTGGTTATTGATCTGGTTATTGATCAGGTCAGAGCTGGTTATTGATCTGGTTATTGATCAGGTCAGTTCTGGTTATTGATCTGGTTATTGATCAGGTCAGATCTGGTTATTGATCTGGTTATTGATCAGGTCATTTCTGGTTATTGATCTGGTTATTGATCAGGTCAGAGCTGGTTATTGATCTGGTTATTGATCAGGTCAGTTCTGGTTATTGATTAGGTCAGAGCTGGTTATTGATCAGGTCAGAGCTGGTTATTGATCAGGTCAGTTCTGGTTATTTTCTGGTTATTGATCAGGTCAGAGCTGGTTATTGATCTGGTTATTGATCAGGTCAGTTCTGGTTATTGATCTGGTTATTGATCAGGTCAGTTCTGGTTATTGATCTGGTTATTGATCAGGTCAGTTCTGGTTATTGATCTGGTTATTGATCAGGTCAGTTCTGGTTATTGATCTGGTTATTGATCAGGTCAGAGCTGGTTATTGATCTGGTTATTGATCAGGTCAGAGCTGGTTATTGATCTGGTTATTGATCAGGTCAGAGCTGGTTATTGAACTGGTTATTGATCATTCTGTTCATTATTGCTTTGTTGATAGGATTTTCATACAAAATGTTTGAATTAAAATGCAATAAATAAATCAGTTAATGATAATTATACAAGTTTCTGTTTTTTATTCATGATAAGTCTGGATAAGCAAGACAAAGGTCAAGGTCAACATTACTGATTTTAGAAATTCCTTATAGATACTCAGCGGCTTCATTCCTAGAGGAATTTTGATCACACTTCTTACGCTCCTTAGATATTATAATATACTGCACTGTTCAGTTTCAAGGTTATAGAGTAGAGGTCATTGTAAATACTTATGGAAAATTCTTGCCAGTGCCTTGTAGCTGCATTTTTCTGGAGGGATTTGATTAAATTTCATACACTTAAAAAGAACTATTATGTCTTGGACAAGTTCAGTTAATTAATTAATAGACAGGTATTGTAGGGTCAAGGTCTTCGTACTATTTTTAGAAACCTTTGTCAGCACTCCACCAGCTTCATTTCTTTAGGAATTTCGATCAAATGTCACTCATACCAATAAGACCATAATATTTCTAACTAGTTCCATTTTCGGGGTTAAAGTGTCAAGGTCAAAAGTCACCAAAACTGTTTTTAGAACATCTTGTCAGCTCTGTAGTGGCTTCATTTCCGAGGGATTTTTATCAAATTTCACATCACATAAAGATCAATACCTTTACAGACAGGTTCAAGTTTCAGGGTTTTAGTCAGGGTCACTTGTTGCTATTGAAGAAAATCCTTGACAGCTCTTTAGTGACTTCATGCCTTGGGGAATTTTTATCAAACTTCACACATTTGGCTATCTTCTTTATTGCACACAAGTCAAGGTGGAACCTCAAAGGGAAACATGTCATTTGCAATGCCTTTAACTAGAAGTGCAACCTTCATCATAAACATATCTCGCCATGTATTAGACCAATACCCTTACTGGTAGATATTATGATGACTATTACGATGCAAAGTCAGTTAGATTGGTAGAGTTAAGATGAACACAATGATCAAAGAACAAGGTCAATGGGCAAATGTCAAGGTCAAATGGCTTATATCCAACTTGGTAAATATTTTTTAACAAAACTTTGAAGGAAAGTTAATTGGTGGAGGCCATCAGGTTTAGTTTTCAAATGACATTTCTTCTTGATTTATGAAGGAATGTTTAACAAAATCAGAAGTTAAGTCTCGTGTTAAAGTGTGGAATGTAAATATAACACATCATCTGGTAAATTTTTGTTTATACAATGAAAAAAGTGAGTGTATTCAGTTGGAATGGACTGTTGAGGGTATTAACTAGTACATACCATCTTTTACATTTTATATTATTAAGACAAATAATGAGCCAAATAGAATTATTTTAAAGTTTCACATTTATAAGCTTTATAAGCCATTCGGACATTTCCTTACATTGTCAGTGCATCCAAAGCTACTAATCACTAATGTTTTGGCAAAAAAGGGGTAAACAAATGTTTTTGTTCACACAAAAACAAATATTCCAAGTGAAAGCTAATGTACAAAATTAGTTCAAAATGGATCAAAGTTTGAATATAGAAGTGTTCCAAGTAATGGTGATGCTGTTTTATAAGATATGGATTATATTCAGTTAAGAAAATAAAACCAAAACACTTGTTCAATTTTTCTATTTACCACTGTTTTATTGGCAATGCCAGGAATAACCATACACAAAATGGATATTTATTATCCAGTGCCCCACGGAGGGGATTCACAGCCTCCCAATGCTGACACTGCATACAGTAATATGTACAGACATCAAGTAGGGCATACACCAAACAAATAGGTCACAACACATACTGATCAACAACCAAAGGCTGACTGCAGGCCAACACCATAGCCCAGGCAAACTTGTAGGGCACCATGGGTGATCACAAGCACACAAGGAACTTCTTAAAAGCTTCCATGTTGTGAAGAAAACATGGGGCAGCTTGTAAGCATTCCATTTTGTAGAGCTTGTGATACCTGCACCCCAGACTGCTTGCTTGCACCCAAGTAGAGCTTTCAAATGCCTGAGGTAGAGCTACAAGCACCCATGGCAAGGCTTGCAACACAATCTTAACCAAACTAATGTTGAAGACAGAGAGAGTATAGTTACACAACAGGTAAATGTTAGGACATGGATTCATTAATGTCATTTCTATCACTCATACCTATGTACAGATGTTCCACGATATCTAAATACATTAAGCTTCACAAAGCACAACCTAATTCACTATTTTGTATACATACCATTATAACTCCCAATGTGAGCTTCTGAATTCACTGATTTAACAAATCTGTACATACACATGAGTATTAGGATAACATGTGTACCCCTATTGGTAAAGTGGTTTGACAGCTTCACAAGAACTGTATTTGTCTTGTCTTACATGTACAATCTAGTTAAACTAGAGCTGATGTTATCACTCTATACATACACACCACAGAACCAATTATTGGGGTAACACTAGCTTACTTGTCCATGGAACTATTGGGATGAATCACAAATCGTACCTACAACCATGGTTATTTAACTCCATGACGGCCAATTCGGTGTGCCCCTAATGAAGACGACTTGATGATGTACAAGTGGCAGATCGGCAGATGATTTAACCAAGTGGTACAGATGAAGACTACTACTGAATTGCACATCAAAGGAACAATATTTAACATTACTCTGACTTATCAACATATTTAAAACAATTGGAGAGTGTAAAATATCAAATAAAAACAAGAAATCATTCTCAGAAAATAGGCTTTGGTTATTCAGATCTAAGCAACTCGCATTCACACTTCCATAAAAGCTGATATTTCACAGAGACATCTTCAATGTATCCTGTGGTAACATTTTCCAAATCCCACAAACCCTTTCCCCTACATAATCTCAGCCCACCCCACCCCCACAACATGTATGTGGAATGAAGAGTCTGAGTGAAACATAAATAAAAAACAGAAAAGGTAACATGCTTTTTTCATGCTTTTTGCTCATATCAGACCATTTTATGTCACTGAAGCACTAGACTGTGAAATATACAAGGGATAAAATCAATACTCCCAAGGAAGGCAGGCTCTCAATATATGTATTAGAATGAAGGATTGGTAAGACTTAGTTATCAGCTGGCAGAATCACAAATGTATCTTAATTGCTTAAAGGTCATTCTCATAGAGCAAAGTATTGAAGTAATGGTCGTACTTATATTCTTAACTTCACAACAATGGTGTTTCAGTGTGAGGCTGCTGGAACTTACTAAAAAACAATGTACTCGTTCAGGCAAGATCAGAAATCACAAATTGGGAAATCATATCTATCAATAATGACCTGAGCAATACAAATTGATGAAGAGGAAAGCAACACCATAATTATTTATGACATAGGACGATCCATTCATCCACATTTTCAACCCCCAACTCAACATCACAGTGCTTAACATGATGCTAGTGAAGATAATTTTTTCTGTGATCAATTACATCTTGTCCAAAATTTCACATCAGACTGTGAGACAGAGGATTTCTCAGATCAAAAATAGTAGAAGTAATGAAGGGTATTAATTTTCTCTCTGCATTTTTGTACAATATACCTAAGAATGAGTTTTATGGTTGCCACATCAGTGAGAGCAAGTCCAATACTTTATACATGGAATGTTGCAAACTGTTTTTCTACAGAGTAAACAGTCCTTTGGCCAATCAAAAGTAAAGGCTGACAGGACACCCAATCAGAGTCAACCAATTTTCCTTTTTCAAACTCAACTGGTTTTGTTTGCTTATGTGTAATGACAGCAACACTATCTGCATACCAGTGACACACCAATTCTAATTTGAGTATCAGGGTAAAAACTGCAGTCTACACACTTATTCTTAACAAACTTTTCTTTTAATGATATATACCAGAACCTGATACCTAGGAAAACTCACTTCCAGACACTGTTGTAGCAGAACAGATTTCTTTTTATAAGATTTCTTTTTCTAGAATCTGTCAGGACTCTACAGAATCTGAGCGAACAGTCAATAAATGTCATGATGGTTTATTTCTAATCACTAATATGAATGAAACCTCTTAAGCATACTGGCAGTAAAATTACAATCCATGATTGGTGGAGCTAGTTAGTCTTTATGGCACAAACAATGACAAAACCACAGCATGAAATGTGACAATTCTATCACAAGGCTACTTATAAAGCACTTAAACACTCACTAGCAGCCATCAAAATAATTTCAAGACTTCCAATGTCACCTGCTGTAATCTATAATTAATTTCATTGTACAATTCTAACATTTTTCTACCACAAGACATCCCTTTTAACTTCAGTTTTGGTTTACTTTAGATAAAAATGAATTAAAATCTAAATTGATCTAAGATAAAATCTCACCCAAAGTACCTGGTATATAAAGTCAGGTAACAAAGTAACCATCAGAAATCCTTTTCTTTAAAAATGGAAATACAAAAAAAGTTTTTAAGTGGCACATGTACAATTTATGAGATAAAATTATAACAAAGTGAAAAAGATTATTTAAAGACTTTCACTGTAAATGTCTTGCGTAGGAAATTCCGAACTACCTAATGCTGTACCATACCTTTGTATTGTGTTTTCTTTATTTTAACATGTTTACAAATATTTCAACTACTAAGACCTGATAGTGCCACTAGCCAAAGTATAACGGCCTATTTATAGCCAGAGAAATACTATATACATAAACTACATTGCCCAATACTTATTAAATTGGTATAAAAAACACCAGGTGATATGTCCTCAGTATTTTTAACAACTGCACTAGTTGCCATAGCAACAGGAAGAAATTTACTAAAACAATTCAATAAAAAAAAAAAAATGAGTATTAATGCATAACATGTAATTATTAGTCGTATTTCCTTCCATACATGGTACAATAATGATTCATTTGATGGTGGAAATACATTTCCAGATAAGAGAAAAACATCAACTTGGCATTCTCCACACAGTGCAATCTGAGCAAACTAAACCTGATTGCTTCTGATGCTGTAGCCAGGAAGCCTTCAAGCTCTTTTGTCCAAATGTCCATAAAATAGGACGGTTTGTTCCTAGAGGTCAAGTCAAAGAGACTATTTAGACAAAACAACACGACTGAATCCTCAGATATATATATATATATTAGCTGACAAACAAAACATTGTCTGTGATGACGTAAGCATATTGCCCACCAGAACCATGTCTATATAGACCAGCGAAGCCAAATATATTTCTTTTGACAATGAAAAGTTGTCACCAAATTATTCCTAAAATATACCAATATATGCATAGCGAAAATTGATCAGGCTAAAAGGCTGCAGAGGCTAGTTCACCCACGTAAAAGGATGAAATCAGGACCAAAACCATATTACAACATGAAATATTCTATATTGTTTCAATCTGAAACGCTTTCATTCTTTCAAAAGTGGACATTTTCATTGAACTACAAACACTCCTAACATGTTTATACAGTAATGACATCCCAACATGAACATGTGTACTTAGAAAATCTGAAGAATGGATTAAAATGGTACAGGACACCAACTATACCTTCTATTATCATGTGCAGAGGAGACTTAACTTGGGTGTATCAGTATTATACTGTCCAACAGGTATCAATATTGTCATAGTACATTCAATGTGTGAAAAAAAGGACAAATGTACTATGTATACTTTAGAAAATATAAGTATGAATTGTTACCATGCTCAAAATATATTTAGCCAACAAATATTATTGGTATAGACATGAATAAGACATCTGTTATATGGTATTACAGTAAATCTATATTGTATTACTGTACTTAGCAGGCAGAAATTTTCCATATTTTTTCCTGTTTTATTTATCCTGTCACTTTTATTGCATTAGACGTATATCTTCTTCAGACTTGCTAAGAAAAGTTAAAATTGTACTTTTTCATGTTTATTATAATTATTTTATCTTTGTCACATCACAAACAAGTTGCTTCTAACAAAATTGCAATAATTTCTCTTCCTGATAATAAATCTGCAGTTTATGATATGTTTTAAATTAACTTGCTTTAAACATGTTTTCAATCTGGTTTTTTTTTTTTTTTTTTGTTTGTGTGTGTGTGTGTGTGTGTGTGTGTGTGTGTGTGTGTGTGTGTGTGTGTGTGTGTGTGTGTGTGTGTGTGTGTGTGTGTGTGTGTGTGTGTGTGTGTGTGTGTGTGTGTGTGTGTGTGTGTGTGTGTGTGTGTGTGTGTGTGTGTGTGTGTGTGTGTGTGTGCAGTGTATAATACGCTTTGATGTATTAAACACACAATGATCATCTGCCATATAAAAATGGGATGACCTTCAGTACTATCTTCACCGGTTTTTGAAACTTTGATTCTTAAATCTGAATAGTCTATGTCACCTCAAAAGTAACAGATGTGGAGATGTACAAGGTCAAAGTCAACCTAGATCTTTTTATGGAATAGAACTTGCATGATAAATTCAATCTACAGGTGTGTTGGGTTAAATACACACTCAGCTGCCGAGGTCACAAGTGACAATACTGAAGTTTCACTGCATAGACAAAATCTGTTCAGTCTGCATGTAAATCACTGAACACTGCCGGTGTAAACAGTATTTTAATTCTGTGTCTGGATTTATCCTCACATACAAAATCTCTCAACACAATTGAATCAATTGATGTGAATGTAGAGGTTCGTTATAATCAAAAACTTTAAATGTTAGAAGCAGAGGAATTATGTGCAACATATCAAGGCAAGAAGAATCATAAACATTTTATATATTCTGTACATTTAACACAATTAGGTGTATGTCTAAAACCCAGCTTTTAGATATTATATTGAAGATTGTGTCAGAAATGGTTTTTTACCAGTCACCATAATATCCCTTAAGCTTATGACCAGGTCATGGAGGTTGTCTTTTGTGGTTTTGTGAACAACATATAACTTAATATAATTAATTTGTGATGGTAGTATATATGTGTAACAAAACATAATACAAAGCAGAATTCACATTTCCTTGTCGGTCTCCTTTCAACAAGTTGTTCAGGTGAAAGAAAGAATTTTTTTCTTTCATCTGAAGATTATGGTGAAAAAAGAAAAAGTACATGTGAATTCTGCTTTCTCTTAGCTTAGTGTTTAACTGGACAAATACCATAATGATTAATGAACAAATAACAAGAAACAGATAAACAGCTTAGAGCATGAGACAAATTGTATAGCATCATATAGATGTATACTGTGTACTGTCCCACAGTCACAATCTATACGTCAAGAAAAATATTACTTTCTAATAATATGTACATCCTTCAATCAGATTTACTAATAATAAACGTCACAGTGTCTCTATGGAGGCGAGAATCATCAAGTCTGTGATGTATGGGAACCAACTGTACAAAAATCTGCTAAATATAATATCTTAATATTATTTATCTACAATTTATCAAAATTATCTGTACATGAATAAGAACAAAATAGTGCTTTTCTTTATCTTTAAGTTACAACCCAACATAATCCAATGATTCATCGACTTACACAGTAATCCAGTATTCTGGCAGTATGTACACCACTCAACAGATTGATAACCGTCAGGTGAATAGTGTTTATAAACTATAATTTACTATGTTATATCATGATTAAGTATATAAAAACAAACAACAGGTCGATGCACACTGTTCCAGATACACAATCTTCAGAAAAATTCCGAAATCACACAAATTAATTCATCATAGAAAAGTGACAATCCCATATCTATTTGAGGTACCAAACATGATCATAAATGTTAGTTAGAAACAGTATTTCAGAGAAGATTTTAATATAGAGAGCAGAATGGGACATCACTTCATAAACATATTCAACACTGCATTATAAATTATGATTGTTCAACTACCTCATGAATGATTATACATGTACCTAACTTCCTAAATTTCATTTCAGATGATATAGCACTTTTCTTCGAGGTATATAAGAAAAATGCTTTCAACTCCCAACAACATCAATGAAACTCACACCCTCCCCCAACCCACATCTTACTGGACACCAGTATAGCTCAACCCATCCCCATAACATCACTATTATTCCTACAAGAAACCCTGATTTCTATATACCCCACTCCCTATCCTAATGGCTTAAAATACTTTTTTTGTCACTTGAAAGAAAAAAACAAGGTCTTTAATGGAAAAAACAAAAAACAAAAGTGGGGGGGAGGAGTTCTTCACAAACAAAATCATTTTTGTGACCAGCTGCTCTAACCAACTAAACTGAGTGGCCAGCTGTTCATACACACTAAATCACATGTATGTCCAATTGTTCATACACAATAGATTATTTGTATGAAAAGGTTGAATACTCTGTATACAGTTACCAACTGTTCATACAAACCCAATCATTTGTATAACTAGCTGTTCATACATAAAACCTCATGTATTTAATTAAAAATTTTGCTTATGGACTAAATTACCAGTTTATGACAATCACTTGTTTATAGAGATGAAATGTAAAAATGTGTGTTAATAAAGGAATTTCCTCCTAGCTACATTTCAGATTACTTTGTAAGTCGACGAGTCATTAGCTTGATAAAGAACATCTGGACATGAATGTGTAGATCTATTGTTCTCGTAATGACAGACATGGGTGAGGAGAAAGAAATAAATTATGCGGCCTAGTATAGTACAAGCTCTATATATACAGCAGTTATCGACATCTGTTGGAATTCGTGCCTGCCACACTGTCATTCGTCAAGCTCTCGTTGTTTGCAGCTCCAACTGAAACATAAAAACACATCTATAGCTGGAATCATCAAAACTACGGTAAATCAGGTTTAAAACACTTAATTTATAGCTATGTTATGTCAATGTCTGTGGGAAGCCTATGTTAACAATTCTTAAATCATCAACATGTGATTCACAAACAAAATGGCAGCATCACCTGACCACGAATAACTGACTGGTCACAGGACAAGAAATGAATCAAGTATATAATGAGGTGTAGCATTCATTGACGATGATATAAATTACAAAAATATCATGATATATAATACAAAAACACAAATAACTGTTACTTCATAATCTCAAATTATTATTAAGATATAAAATATCTTTAGTCATCTACACTTGCTATCTTCACCAATGTGATATAAAAATCATCAGTACAGTTAATGTTTTAATTCAAATTCAACTGCTTTCACAGATCACTTTGAGACCAATTATAACAAGATGTATATCTTAAAGAGAAAAAGGTTTTGTTATTCATCCAGAGTAATTATCAGTGGCATCACATATCACCGTCTTCCACATCCAAGCAGAAATCATAAATACAATAAAATGAAAAAAAAAAAAAAATAGCCATGTATGATAAAATCTAACACTACTGAGCATCCATGAGATTCAATTGTAAGGAAAGCATTATCATTCCATCCTGGCAATGTAAGCAGAGGTAAGGACGCAGTGCGTGGGCAGGCTAGACTTAGCTGGAGGAGGATGCCAAGTCTTTCCATTGAAAGCAAAACATATTTTTGATAAAATAACCACAAACACCCAATTTCACATGGTACAAATTCCCATTATGGTTTTAGAGTATGAGAGCATGGATGACTTGTATTTACTGGGGTATTCCAGACAACCCCCAACCCCCTCCTCTGGTCAGTAGGTCATCAACACAACCACTGTATGATCACATAACTCCAATACTGGCACATTCTTGTGAGTATGTTCACACCCCAATACTTTAATCATTTATTTATATTGTCTTTGCTTTTCCCCCATTTTGGCGAAAAACTAAATTTAGTTAACTTAGAGGCGATTGAAAGGCCTTTTATAGAACAAACCATAGTTCTGCAGTAGTTCTAAGTTCCTAAAACATTTGACCTTTGACCTTAAAATTTGATCATAATAATTTCATGGATAATTTTGTTGACAGCTCTCTTCAAAAAGAAACAAAGCTGATTCAAGCTTAATAATTCCGAAGAACTGTGAAGAAACTTGAGGGAAAAGATCACAGCAAAGGGATACAACACAGCAATTTCTATGTGATATTTGTTTCCAGGCAGTACAAAATCTTTTCATATAGATCTATCATTTCATACATTTCTTATTTGATGACAATTAGATTTGTAACTCAAAATTTTGTTTAAAGAACACTTACAATGCTTTTATTTTCAGTCAGTAACTGGTAACCTAAAAGCTATGTTTGAACAGTTCATTCTATTCAGTCCTTGATACTGAAGTACATGTGGTCTTATACAAACCCTGGACCATCTATAGCAATCAATGCAATAATCATACCATGCTTATGATGGGCAAATTGAAATGGCCATTTACAGGGCAGGGACACCAGCACAAACATCAACGTACAATCTGAATAAAGCCGTCTTAACAGGATGGAATGAACACAACTTATTTGTTATGTTATTGATGAAAATGATTGTGTTAAGATGTCTGCTATCTACATCACTTGCTGAGTAAATTGAATGTTGACAGTATCATGATGCATTGGTCAAAGTATGAAACTGTTGTCAAAATAGGATGCATTATTAGGCTGATGATGATCTTACATAAATCTACACTAATACAATGGCCGACATATGTTCCATGAATGTTAGACAACAATAATGACCATTACACGTATCAGATCCATAAACGTTCCCATCAGTTCCACACATTAACAATAATTATCTATAAAACTACAACAAGATCTCAACTTTTTCCAAACCATTGGATACTATTTTGTTATTTAATTTGCGATATGTTTGGTGTACCATTGTAATGGCCACAGTGAGGCGATTAGTTAAGGGGCACCACAAGGGGAAAGATGCACCACGTTTATAGGCACAGTCATTACCTCTGCAACATTGCCTGAAAACACCACAACAAAAGACATTAACTCAGGCAAATCTTTAGAAAAATGGAGGTAAATATGGGATGTCATATAAGAAACACATCGTTCTGATATCAATGTTTATCCCATCTAATCCCACTTAAAATCAAAGGATGTATTCTGCACTTTTCTGGTATATTTCAGTCAATAAAAACATGGTTGTGTACTTGCTATAGATACACAACAGTGTGGTAATAAGATCTCACATTAAACCGTTCTGTTCTTCTACATTGTCTTGTTTCTCCCTAAAATATCAGTAGTACCATTCTCTGTTCTATAAAGAATACATATGATACTTTTTAAGAAAAAGTCCTCCCTGCTTTCTTATAAAAGCCAAAACAAACTCAATCCCTCCAATTCCAAGATGGAAGCCTCTTCAGCTCTTCCAGTCAATTACAGAATTAGGGATGCGCAACTAAGGACCATGATGATCTATTAACCTGGCTGTGAAATAGTGATAACAAATTTTAAATATATCAGCTCCATTAAGGCTATAAAATGGTACCATAGGTTGTGTTGAAATGCAATGTGGATAATTTAAATGACTATCGGATCTGTGATCTGACCTGTGAATTGGTTAATGATCTCTACAACCCAATCTTGCCTCAAGTCTTCAGAAGGATACATCACTGTAGTGAGATTTACTTTGTTGTCACAACTGTTATCACATCAATGAGGATGACTATTACTTTGTTACCTTTTTATACTTTGACCCAATAAATGTAAAATGAAAATGTCACTGCCAATATTTGTATCATTATAAATACAAATATTTTGCACTGTAATACTACCAAGATAGACTCTCACACTGGTTCTATATGACAGAGTTCAAATGACACAGGGACTGATAAAACAACGATGAAAGTATTAGTGAAGCTTAAACAGACAAACATACCAGCGTGGTTTTGCATAGGATTGGAGGCTGTTTGTAACTTCTTCTTATCCTTGAATTCAAATGACATTACTTCATCATATATCAACTCTGAAAAGCAAAAACAGAAACAAATGTAGGAAAAGAAAATTATCATACTATGTGACTTTGATTCATTACTTTGTACAAAACGTTTATGTCAGTACTTAATATTTCATAAGAAGTTTCAATTGCAGGAACACTCTATCTCCTGCGAATTATCTCAAATATTTCAAACAGAAATAATAAATATTATATCATAATTGATTGTGATGTAAATCCTTGTTAGAACATTTGTAATCCATTGATAAGAGGAAAGAGAACTGAACATTTCTACCACTGCCAAAGGCTACAAATATAGCTGATATCAAGTAAAACACTAAACCAATGTCAATATCAGGGATGACTTGATAGCAAGATCTTTGTAGATCACCTGGACATTAAAACATTTATAGCAAAATATTCCTTTTACGTAAAATACTCCCATTTTCAATAACAGTCAAAACAATACCGTCTGTAGAATTTTAACTGCAGGAATCAAAACCAGTTTTATCCGTTAAAAATGCATTGTTGATTGAAGTTGTGTACAATCTAAAATGTCAAGATGTAATTGTTGAATGATTAACAATCAAATTTCATAATACAGCAACATTTCATGTTGTTTACCCAATATTTGGATCATAATAATCCAAAGCTACATGTTCAAGATTTGACTGGTATATTCATTGACCTAGCTATAAACAATGGCTGGTTGCTTTAGCACTAATATGGAAAGAGCTAAATACAACTTCTAAACATGATAAAAATGACCAGGATTCCAGCCTTGTACAGACCTTTCCACTGCTCCACTGTGTGTTCCTGCTCATCTACTGTGTGATCATATGAGTCCGGAGCTGGCTGTAAACACAACACATACTCTGGTAACCATATTGTACATCTCAACCAAATTCTTTCATGTGCATAGTAGTATTCAGATCACCAAGCATTGCTTAATGTCCTAACTCTTCATACAGGTATGGTCCTACATCTCACTTAGCATAATGTCTTCCTAACTCTGTTACAAAGTATAGCCCTACATCTCACCTAGCATAACGTCCTCCTAACTCTGTTACAAAGTATGGCCCTACATCTCACATTGCATAACATCCTCCTAACTCTGTTACAAAGTATGGCCCTACATCTCACCTAGCATAATGTCCTCCTAACTCTGTTACAAAGTATGGTCCTACATCTCACCTAACATAATGTCCTCCTAACTCTGTTACAAAGTATGGCCCTACATCTTACCTCCTAACTCTGTTACAAAGTATGGCCCTACATCTCACCTAGCATAATGTCCTCCTAACTCTGTTACAAAGTATGGCCCTACATCTCACCTAACATAATGTCCTCCTAACTCTGTTACAAAGTATGGCCCTACATCTCACCTAACATAATGTCCTCCTAACTCTGTTACAAAGTATGGTACCTCCTAACTCTGTTACAAAGTATGGCCCTACATCTCATAATGTCCTCCTAACCTGTTACATAATGTCCTCCTAACTCTGTTACAAAGTATGGCCCTACCTACATAATGTCCTCCTAACTCTGTTACAAAGTATGGCCCTACATCTCACCTAGCATAATGTCCTCCTAACTCTGTTACAAAGTATGGCCCTACATCTCACCTAGCATAATGTCCTCCTAACTCTGTTACAAAGTATGGCCCTACATCTCACCTAGCATAATGTCCTCCTAACTCTGTTACAAAGTATGGCCCTACATCTCACCTAGCATAATGTCCTCCTAACTCTGTTACAAAGTATGGCCCTACATCTTACCTCCTAACTCTGTTACAAAGTATGGCCCTACATCTCACCTAACATAATGTCCTCCTAACTCTGTTACAAAGTATGGCCCTACATCTCACCTAGCATAATGTCCTCCTAACTCTGTTACAAAGTATGGCCCTACATCTCACCTAGCATAATGTCCTCCTAACTCTGTTACAAAGTATGGCCCTACATCTCACCTAGCATAATGTCCTCCTAACTCTGTTACAAAGTATGGCCCTACATGTCTCACTCTGTTACAAAGTATGGCCCTACATCTCACCTAATGTCCTCTCACTCTGTTAATGTACTAATGTCCTCCTAACTCTGTTACAAAGTATGGCCCTACATCTCACCTAACATAATGTCCTCCTAACTCTGTTACAAAGTATGGCCCTACATCTCACCTATGTCCTCCTAACTCTGTTACAAAGTATGGCCCTACATCTCACCTAGCATAATGTCCTCCTAACTCTGTTACAAAGTATGGCCCTACATCTCACCTAGCATAATGTCCTCCTAACTCTGTTACAAAGTATGGCCCTACATCTCACCTAGCATAATGTCCTCCTAACTCTGTTACAAAGTATGGCCCTACATCTCACCTAACATAATGTCCTCCTAACTCTGTTACAAAGTATGGCCCTACATCTCACCTAACATAATGTCCTCCTAACTCTGTTACAAAGTATGGCCCTACATCTCACCTAGCATAATGTCCTCCTAACTCTAACTCTGTTACAAAGTATGGCCCTACATCTCACCTAACATAATGTCCTCCTAACTCTGTTACAAAGTATGGCCCTACATCTCACCTAACATAATGTCCTCCTAACTCTGTTACAAAGTATGGCCCTACATCTCACCTAACATAACATAATGTCCTCCTAACTCTGTTACAAAGTATGGCCCTACATCTCACCTAACATAATGTCCTCCTAACTCTGTTACAAAGTATGGCCCTACATCTCACCTAGCATAATGTCCTCCTAACTCTGTTACAAAGTATGGCCCTACATCTCACCTAACATAATGTCCTCCTATCTATGTTACTAAGTATGTCCGTACTTCTTACCTCCTAACTCTGTTACAAAGTATGGCCCTACATCTCACCTAACATAATGTCCTCCTAACTCTGTTACAAAGTATGGCCCTACATCTCACCTAACATAATGTCCTCCTAACTCTGTTACAAAGTATGGCCCTACATCTCACCTAACATAATGTCCTCCTAACTCTGTTACAAAGTATGGCCCTACATCTCACCTAACATAATGTCCTCCTAACTCTGTTACAAAGTATGGCCCTACCTCCTAACTCTGTTACAAAGTATGGCCCTACATCTCACCTAACATAATGTCCTCCTAACTCTGTTACAAAGTATGGCCCTACATCTCACCTAACATAATGTCCTCCTAACTCTGTTACAAAGTATGGCCCTACATCTCACCTAACATAATGTCCTCCTAACTCTGTTACAAAGTATGGCCCTACATCTCTAATGTCCTCCTAACTGTTCAAAGTATGGTTACAAAGTATGGTACATCTCCATAACTCTGTTACAAAGTATGGCCCTACATCTCACCTAACATAATGTCCTCCTAACTCTGTTACAAAGTATGGCCCTACATCTCACCTAACATAATGTCCTCCTAACTCTGTTACAAAGTATGGCCCTACATCTCACCTAACATAATGTCCTCCTAACTCTGTTACAAAGTATGGCCCTACATCTCACCTAACATAATGTCCTCCTAACTCTGTTACAAAGTATGGCCCTACATCTCCCCTATGTCCTCCTAACTCTGTTACAAAGTATGGCCCTACATCTCACCTAGCATAATGTCCTCCTAACTCTGTTACAAAGTATGGCCCTACATCTCACCTATGTCCTCCTAACTCTGTTACAAAGTATGGCCCTACATCTCACCTATGTCCTCCTAACTCTGTTACAAAGTATGGCCCTACATCTCACCTAACATAATGTCCTCCTAACTCTGTTACAAAGTATGGCCCTACATCTCACCTAACATAACATCCTCCTAACTCTGTTACAAAGTATGGCCCTACATCTCACCTAGCATAATGTCCTCCTAACTCTGTTACAAAGTATGGCCCTACATCTCACCTAGCATAATGTCCTCCTAACTCTGTTACAAAGTATGGCCCTACATCTCACCTAACATAATGTCCTCCTAACTCTGTTACAAAGTATGGCCCTACATCTTACCTCCTAACTCTGTTACAAAGTATGGCCCTACATCTCACCTATGTCCTCCTAACTCTGTTACAAAGTATGGCCCTACATCTCACCTATGTCCTCCTAACTCTGTTACAAAGTATGGCCCTACATCTCACCTAACATAACATCCTCCTAACTCTGTTACAAAGTATGGCCCTACATCTCACCTAACATAATGTCCTCCTAACTCTGTTACAAAGTATGGCCCTACATCTCACCTAGCATAATGTCCTCCTAACTCTGTTACAAAGTATGGCCCTACATCTCACCTAACATAATGTCCTCCTAACTCTGTTACAAAGTATGGCTCTACATCTCACCTAGCATAATGTCCTCCTAACTCTGTTACAAAGTATGGCCCTACATCTCACCTAGCATAATGTCCTCCTAACTCTGTTACAAAGTATGGCCCTACATCTCACCTAACATAATGTCCTCCTAACTCTGTTACAAAGTATGGCCCTACATCTCACCTAGCATAATGTCCTCCTAACTCTGTTACAAAGTATGGCCCTACATCTCACCTAGCATAACATCCTCCTAACTCTGTTACAAAGTATGGCCCTACATCTCACCTAGCATAATGTCCTCCTAACTCTGTTACAAAGTATGGTCCTACTTTTTGTCTATAGTGGACCCTTGATAATCTGGACACCTTCATTTCCAGCTTAATAGTCAGGATTGCTAATTTTCTGGAGTGTCACATTTAGATAGCAGGCTAATTAACTGGAATTATCTCCCTTGATTACATAACCAAGTTGTCAGTGTGATGTTGTTGGTTGTTTCCAAAAGGTCTTTTTAGTATTTAATGTAAATACATATGTATAAATATTTTCGTTGTCTAATTCTATTTCCTTACAATATGTTTCACTTAAGAATTATGATAACAACCCTTGCTTTCAGAGTATGATATGCACTACAATACCTTTTACTGCATTTTGACACAATTCTGAAGCTAATGATTTGTTGCATTGAACTATTCTTATTTAGGATCAAGCTAAGTGAAACCATGTGAGCATGCAGCAGATATTTACTACATGATGAGCATATTTAAAAGCGATAACATACTGTAATTAAAAAACTGAAGATCAATTTTATCTCTCAGTTCAACTTCATATGCATCACTGATAACACTGAATTCCTTGCCATGTTTTTCTCTGTTAAATAATGTGATTAAGGACAGTATTCCATCCATCATTTATCAATAAATCAATGATTACTTTGTATTTCTATGAGTAATATCAAGAGTTGATAACATGGTTTCTATTTACTTTTTTGTCTTGGTTAATATCAACATTCAAAATTATGTGAAATATGAAACAACATTTCTCTACATATAGATGTGACCATGTATAAATATTGAATAATTCAGAATTAATTGTCAAGCATTAGAAAACAAGACCAAACAAAGACTCTCTCTTCTGACCTTTTTCTTTACAATTAATTCATCATGTCCTGTACCATCAACTCGGACATGAGTTCCATAGATAATCGCTCCGAGTGATAATTTGACAGCTGTCTCTTGCACACAGAGTACAATTAATGTTATTAAAAATATTCCCCAACATTTGTATCCCAATTGCAAGTTTTCCAACGATTAACATCGGAATGATTCCAGGTCCTATAACCATAGTGTCCTGCTATCTCATTACAAAGGATGGCTCTACATATTGACTACTATGATAACACATGTATCAAGAGTTTTATTTATAACTAAATGAGGTACAGTTCATGAACATTCTAAAACAATAGTCTACATGTTAAAAGCATGGCATTTCTATAGAACACTGTTTTTTTAACTAATAAATATAAGTAACATTGACTTACCCCATTTACTTCATTCTCATCGTACCACACATTTATATATGGGTGCATTAATGCTTCATTAACAGAAATCCTTTTTTCTGGGTCTACCACTAACATTCTAGATAGGAGATCACGAGCCATGCTGGCCCTTAGTCCACTGTGGTCAGCACTGTCCTGAGGAAATATCACATCTGGGAATAGTCTATCAAAGTTATAGCCAGCATGACGAGGCCGGTTTTCCACATAACTCCTAACAGTTGGTTGCAGTCTTTGCATAAATTCCCGTGAAGGCGTTCCTAACTGCTCAATAATTTTGTTCCACTGATCGATATCTGAATAACGTTAAGGAAATCTCAAAAGCAGCGTTAAATAATTGATAGGCTAACTCAATAATTTTCTAATTTTCAATTATTACAGCGGGTTAAACACATTCAGGGCTCTCCATCTGCCAGATTTGGTGCCGATATTCGGCCCCATTCCCGATGCAAAATAGTATCTTTTTTTCCCAATTTATACCCCAAGTTTTCTCAATTCTAAGTAAAACAACGTTATTTTTCCCAATTCTAAGGGTCCCGAGCCCCAGTCCCAAAATGGGGTGTGATAGCCCTGACATTCTTACTCGATGTTTGACATCACCTGTGTGAGGCACAGCATGTGTGGCATAACATTAAATTACTTTGGGTAACACTGAGTGCCTCTTAAACTATATATATACTTTCTGTATACAACTATCTGGGTAACACATAGTCCCTCTTACATTATATGTAAGTAGTCATTTGTGAGAGCTTCAGCATAACTGTACAAGTATAAATTCATACATATGCAAATGATTATAAGGATACGATCACTGCCTGGAAACATCACAGCCCCTCGGATCAACTCTGCCATGATACATCCCACACTCCATATATCCACTGTCAAAAGAAAACGTCATTTGTATTGTTTACTCTATAAAATATTTATAATTGCTCTCTTGGATACAAACAATCATGGCAAAATATATTACTATATTTAGGTTATGCCAGTTACCAGAGAACACCATATCAGCTTCACAGAACTGTTCAGAAACTGAAAAGGTGAGGATTGACTGGAAATGGCAAAATTAAGTCTTTATGACATATCAATCAAGGGATTGGGGATGGCAAAACTAAGTCTTTCTGACATATCAATCAAGGGGTTGGGGATGGCAAAACTAAGTCTTTCTGACATATCAATCAAGGGGTTGGGGATGGCAAAATTAAGTCTTTATGACATATCAATCAAGGGGTTGGGGATGGCAAAACTAAGTCTTTCTGACATATCAATCAAGGGGTTGGGGATGGCAAAACTAAGTCTTTCTGACATATCAATCAAGGGGTTGGGGATGGCAAAACTAAGTCTTTCTGACATATCAATCAAGGGGTTGGGGATGGCAAAACTAAGTCTTTCTGACATATCAATCAAGGGGTTGGGGATGGCAAAACTAAGTCTTTCTGACATATCAATCAAGGGGTTGGGGATGGCAAAACTAAGTCTTTATGACATATCAATCAAGGGGTTGGAAATGGCAAAACTAAGTCTTTCTGATATATCAATCAAGGGGTTGGGGATGGCAAAACTAAGTCTTTCTGACATGTCAATCAAGGGGTTGGGGATGGCAAAACTAAGTCTTTATGACATATCAATCAAGGGGTTGGGGATGGCAAAACTAAGTCTTTATGACATATCAATCAAGGGGTTGGGGATGGCAAAACTAAGTCTTTATGACATATCAATCAAGGGGTTGGGGATGGCAAAACTAAGTCTTTATGACATATCAATCAAGGGGTTGGAAATGGCAAAACTAAGTCTTTCTGACATATCAATCAAGGGGTTGGGGATGGCAAAACTAAGTCTTTATGACATATCAATCAAGGGGTTGGGGATGGCAAAACTAAGTCTTTATGACATATCAATCAAGGGGTTGGGGATGGCAAAACTAAGTCTTTATGACATATCAATCAAGGGGTTGGGGATGGCAAAACTAAGTCTTTATGACATATCAATCAAGGGGTTGGGAATGGCAAAACTAAGTCTTTATGACATATCAATCAAGGGGTTGGAGATGGCAAAACTAAGACTTTTTTGGCTATCAATCAACTTTAAAAATCTTCATCCACACATATTTTTCCCAATGACCCTTGGAGTTTTGAAAGTATACATATATTTGCCCATTGGGAGTTGTCTCTTAGATTTGGGAATGGAAGGCATGATATAACTTCATACAACTTATGATTCCTACTGTCCTAGCAACACTACAGGCCAAACTAAGTCAAAACCATTCAGACATTCAAGGAAAGGAAGTTATACAGTTTGAAGATGGACCAACAGATATCAAGATGGATAGATGTCATATAATAGCATAATATGATTTTGTCCTAATTTGGGTATTTTCATTTTGATAACTTAAAAACTTGATTACCCATTTTTTGTACCAACTTCAATATTAATATTTTCTGCCTATTACTGCCTACCATTCTCCTTGTATCCCATCCCAAGGATAACTTCTGGGGCTCTGTAATACCGGGTAACAACATAAGGTGTCATCATGAATGCCGTTCCTTGGGTTCGTGCCAGGCCAAAGTCTAAAATCTTCAGCGTACAATCTGACTTTACTACTATATTGCTTGGTTTCAAATCCTGAAAAAAACAAAACATACAAATATAAACAGACATATTTCAATGTAATATGACCATTCCTACAAAGAATTTCTTATAAACTATCATCAAATTACATTTCAGTTAGCCGGTAACCTCAGTAAATATGCATGTATGGAATTTTGATACTAAAAATGATAAGGAAGTGTGTCAGAAAATAAACAAAACATTGTTCAAGAAAATCTGACAATCAATTCCTAAACTAATGCCCAATGCTGATTCTGGTCACAAAAATGAATCAATCATGGTGGAATACGGCAATGAACTAATTGTGAGAAATGGGGTTAAAATATCTCAACTATGTCTCAACGAAATCAATTTGACAAGATTTCCAGAAACCATCAGCCAACCATGAAAAGTGCATTTATCACACAGTCACTCAGAGGGGTATACTGTAAAGGTTTTCTTTCATTGGTCCAATTTTTTGCATGTTTACCAAACTCGTCAAGCAAAATGCATGCAACTTTCACCAGTCATGAAAGTGCCTATGGTTTCCTCTTCCAAATTTGTTTAAAAGATATCTGATTTTTGCAGTTTTATCCAATCCTCCAAGATAAAGAGAAATATAACTCCTCAAAAATGACAATCTTAACAGTATACAATTTTTTGCACACCTGTTTCATTAGCATATAAATTTAATCAGATTAGAAATTCATTATGGGTCATGAGCTATCTTGTGGATATATCGACACAATGTAATGCAATGCAATGCACACACAAGAACAGAGATACAGATGTACAAACACAGTGACTAATAATACACAAATCATTTACTGTGTAGAAGGTATATGTCAATTATATAGAAAATTTGGTGACCTACCCGGTGGATAATACCGGCTGAGTGTAAATGTTTTATACCACATAACATCTGGTACAACAGATATGACATTCTTTCATGGTCAAGGTCCATGTTGATCACTTGGCATAAATTCGCATCCATAAGTTCCATTACAAGATACCTGTTCAAATGAAAATATACAAAATCGTGTGATGTTTCAATTACTTGTTCTGCAATGTTCATAAAGTCATACACAAGTTTTTGATACTTTATTCATAATTGTCACTAAATAGGTTAATTGTACATCAAATATCAAACCTATCCTTTTGTTTCATACTTAAACAGTGGAAAACTTCTGATGTGGATTTGTTGTCACTGTTTGTCAAAGGTGAGGTCGTCTTTTTATGTTTATGTTTGCTTATCGACAACGTACACTGCATCCTGACTCAATGATTTTTGTAAATTTCTCATCATAGACAGTTTTGCTCCTATGGTATTTAACATCCTCATAACAACCAGACTCGTATGAAAATGGAATCACGGACAGAGTTTAGTCTGTAAATCACATGTTACCATATAATCAAAAGTGGTCATCTAAGTATGAGAAATGCTTTCAAAACACTACTTACACATCCTGGAAATCTTCTAGTGTCTTTTGTGGAGTAAATGCATTTAACAAGCCTATTATCTGAAAATCAGAAATTACAAACAATGGATCAATATTCATCAAGTGATACATACAAAGTATTAGAAAAAAAAACATGCACTTTGATATTTAGTAACCCAATTTGAACAGTACAGGAAATTTTCATCAACAAATTATATCACATTTACTAATTATGTCAAGAGTTTAAATGTCAATATTCACTAGTTTCTGATCCAACTTACATTCTTGTGATTTACCAACTTCATCAATACAAATTCTCTGTATGCCCTTTTGGCATGGGTAACATTTTGAAATGGACGACTGAGTTTCTTTATTGCCACGTTTGCGCCAGCCACAGTGTCATAGGCAGCACTGAAAAAATAATTAGCCATTTTACATCATCACTGTAATAACAGCAGAGAAATTTGAATCCAACAAACCTTTACAATGAATTCTAAAAATTAGAGACAAAGAGAAACAAAAGGTTTCTCATATCTTCAATGTTTATAATATAAAATCCAAATTAATATTAGTAACATAATTTGATTACAATAAATTTCTTCAAAAATGAAATTTTAAGGCCTAGCTTCACCTTCTTGAATAATCTATGAAATGATAAAACTGCTTAAAATTCTTCCATAACTACCATACAATTCCTTGAGCTCCAGATCCTATTGGCTTGAGACTCTGGTATCTATCTAATATTGTAAAAGTTGAGTCACCAACTTCTACCATGTAGAAGTTGGGAGGGGCAGCAGCGGGAGGGTTACTCATACTGCAAGAAGGTTTGGACAATCGAGGAACACTCTATACGTCCATTGGTGAACACAGGTTTAAAGAGTGCTTCAAAGTTGACCTGCTACAGCTTCTTTATTTCAGGTCAAATGTCATCTGAAAGAGAAAAATATTGTTTTTATATCTTTAACATCGACCATGAAAAGATCATGAAAACACAAGGTTTAGTTTAATATCCTGACTCTATGTTACTGGACATTGGTACATTTCGTATTGTATTTACATTCATAATTTTGTTAAATATTTGAGGAAAACAACTCAGTTTAAGAGTAAAGCACAATATGTTCCCTGTAAGTAAATAGATTAGATTTTCAAATTGAATTATCTCCAATTTAGGACCATATTATATTGGAGAGTGCCACATCTACTAAAATGAACTGGGGCTCTTGTCCAAAACTGGAGACTGAACAGGCACATTGATTATATTAGTGGTTCTGATGAAGGACATGAATTCCTATGGATATACATTACCAATGTTTAAAATGTAACTTCTACATTTAATTTTAAGTATTCCTGAAATCAATTTTCACAACCAACATCAATGATTACCTGTGTACAGTCTCAAGCCACTGAACAACAGTATTAAGACATGAAGTGTATTAATGTCCTGTAGAAACAACTTGTTTTCAAAGACCATTGTTAAGTATAATGTAGATGCTGACTGAATATAAATTGCATGAGAAGCAACTTAATCAGGGGGTCTTTATCTTTTTCTGTTTTTCTGAACTTTATCTTTCAAAGAATATATCACAATAAGAAATGCCATTTTTCAGGAAAAGTGACCATACATCATTCAAAGCAATTCAAACATGATTCACAGTGAAATTGTCAAGTGATCCCTGCAAACGACTTTATTGGACATGACATTTTAACAAAGGGCAATAACTCTGTAATCGAGGACCCTGAATTCGGCACACAGCACATTGTCTTAGTAAGGTCAATGTATACATAAGCTTCAAGATAATTGCTTAACCATAGGCAAATAATGCTTTGGACAAGGAATTTTTAAAAGGGCAAATAACTCTGTAATTGATGATTCAACGGCCCTGACTTTGGTACAATGCACATTGTCTTAGTATGATCAAAGTATCCACCAAGTTTACTTATCCTACTTAACATGAAAGCAAAGTTATGTTCTGGACAAGGATATTTAACAAAAGGTGATAACTCTGTAATTTACCAGTTGAGGGCCCTGAATCTGGTACAGTGCACATCCCCTTAGAATGTATACAACAAGTTTCATGATACTTGCTTTGCTGTCATGAAAGGTGGATACTATATGCTTCCCTGAAAATTTTCTGGGAGCACAATAAATAATACTCAAACCAAACCCTTGTAAATACGAACTGTTATCAGGTAATATACCTGTAACCCCTCAGCTCTTTAGTGATGAGACGACTCAAAATTTTGGTACTTCCATTTAATCAGTAATTAAGAAAACCTACAACATAATAAATACGAAACTAAGGAACTTACTTTTACTTTCATTGTAGGAACACATGATATACATTTAACTGTCGCGACAATATAAATTGGTTTGGAATATTTGATTATTTCCTAAGACTTACCAGAGACCCATGAGGTACGTGGCACAGCTGTCTCTAAGAGTCTTGATCATGATCGTCCAGCAGTCAGATGGAAAGTGACTGGTAGTGGACGTGAACAGGGCTTTGGTATGTGTGCAGGGTGGCGTGAGTACGTAAATACCCGTGCAACATACACTCTTCATACAAACTTCGTACTAGTTATGACAAGAGCACAGGACAGATATTATGTACGTAAACATAAATAGCTTAGTGCATTGAGTACATTGAGTAGACCCTGTTACATACCACTCAACTAGAGAACTTCTCTTTGATATACCTTGAGCTTATGACTAGTAAGCATGAGGTCTTTGAGTTCCATCTCTAGTACAGGTATTGAAAAAAGGAATGACCACTATTACTTTGTTCCCCATATAGGAACCCAGAAGGTATCAATGGAAATACTTAGCCTTGTTCCACAAGCATTGCTGTTACCACTGAAGCTTTTGATCCTACAACCATGGTAAATGTATCTCTCAGCTAGAGAGAACTTTTCTTTGGCTCAATCAGTTGAAAATATGACTGCAGTAGACCAGAGGCCCCAGGTTCAATCCCTTACAGAGGCATTGAAATAAATAATGATCACTGACTTTTTTTTTACTTTATTTTTTCATTATTTCAAATATTAGGAAGGTGCTAGTATAACACCTCCATCATATGTGTAATATGTTAATCTTACTTCAAATGAGCAACAGAAGTAACCTAAATAAACAAGACAATGCAGCAAATTGAACCCATATCCCTAAGTATGAAGTTCTAATGGTTACAATGCAACACTATAGTCTGATAAAACTGGTGGATGCCATGGTCATCACAAAACAAATGTTTAACTTTGATGACGGTTTAAAGAATCTGAATATTTGTAATTTACTGATCTTACAAATATAAGTTACATAAGTTAGTACCTGATAAGTGCCCATGAGGTATTGTCTAATTGGTGTTTTCCAAGCTCATTCCTAATGATTCATTGTCTGAATATTTGGACAGATGATGCCAACAGTTTTACGACAGGATATGTATTGTAAATTATACACTCAACTGAAGAAAAAATTTGATTTGATTATTCAAACCATTCCTGAAAAGATGTATCTAATGGTTTAGCTACAATAAAAATTTGTCAAAAATGGCATTGTTTCACTAGGCTGATGGAGTTCCTTACCTTTAATATACAATAAGTATTTTGACAGATGCAACATTTTCACAACTGTCTTTAAATGTCTACTGTCATTGCATTACTTATCAAAATTTCATTTAAAAATGAAAAGGTTAACTGACACATTATTATCAATTTATATTAAAACAGATACCGATGCTCAATTATACAGTATTATTCTACTGTACTTTAAACAAAAAATAAAAGAAACATGTCTTACTAGATCGGTTTTTTTTCAATATTTCATGATTTTATCGCATCGTGACAGGCTTACAGATAACGGAAGATTCGAGGGAGAATTCGCCTCAATTCGCAGGCAAGTATTATGTTCCAACAACACATTAATGAAAGCAGTGAAATAGCATAGATACATAACGGATACGTGGAGAGAATCCCGATCTGATGAAGCTAATACACAGACGACTCGGGGACGTGCACGAAAAGTCACGCCAATGGTGCCGCATCGGCAACTTTCCAATAAGTAGACACTTGCTCTCAGGAAGTAGATTAACAAATGTGTAGAAATCTAACGATTATTAGCACATGTTTACCTAGGTAATTCAACAGGACAATAATTCTCTGTGATCAAAGGAAGAAGACAAGAAATCCTGTGGTTCGTATGAAGTCTTTCGATAAATATTCCTCCATTAGAAATCGTCTATTTTGGTGCGTGTGACGTAAGCATGTCTTGTTGTAATTAAATTATCGTTTATTACGAGACTATATATATTTCCGATACATTCTATAAATAGGATCATTATCAAAAATATAATATTATTTTGTTGATGCTTTGTAATATAAAAGTATTTCTATCGCATATATTAAATTCTGGAATTTTCTTACGTCATCAATTTATGTGCACATAGGAAGTAAACCTCCCAGCCAAGACGATGTTTATCAATATATCGATTTCTGGTTCCTAGTTGGTATTGACACGATATGGGGAAGTTCAAGGAAGCTTAAGACATACAAGTGAACATATCTGTAAATGGAGATGACTATTTTGCAGGAAAAACATCAGGTACAGTATTTAATTAAAAAATATTTTAGTGCCATGTAAAGGCCATCATGACACTTTTTTTATAGACATATATAAGCCTGTCACATTTGGTTGTATGGTTGTTGGTGTATGCTATATCAGTATTGTCAGGTATTTACCTGTTGATCTTTGCATAGTCGTGGACTTTGTAAATAATTCAGTAATTTATGTAGCATGCACACATTGTTAGTTCATAGCAATGAAATACTAGGTAGTGGAACTTTAGAACGTCTTCTTAAATCAGAGAAACTAAGAAAGGAACTTTACATGAACTTGATAAATCTTGTCACCTGCTCATCTAGCACTTCTACAGGTGAGAGCATAGTAAACTCTTTAATACTTCTATAACAATGATATTGTTTACAAATCTTCTACGTCACATTGTCTGTACAGTGCAACTACAATGTGCAAGTATAATTCTACTGGGGCATAATCAAAATTATTGAATCAAAATATTAATACTGAATTGCACCTCATATCAATACTATGGTATAGAAATAATGATTGGTGAAATAACAGATCCTCTATTTTGCATAATTACAGAGGTAACATTCAGGTGTAATACTTAACGTGATGTTATGTTTTGTTTTGTGTCATTCAAGCGCCCAAACTCATAGATTGAAAAGTCTCAGAATTCCCTCTGTACCCACAAATGAAAAAGTTTCTCCAAAAACAATGAGTACTGACAGTACACAAAAGACATTGTTTTCACATGACCACATTCAAAGTAAAATTCATGAGTGATTACAAAAATAATTATTACATAGAATCAACAACAAAGTAATGTTGATCAAATCAGACCAGGAAAAAATAGTTGTTTAACAAAAGGTTGTGTGTGTCCTTTTTTCAGAGTGTTTGGAGTTATCATCCATGGTAATCTTTATATAAGTCCTCTTCCTTGTTTATGCTCCTATGATTCACTCTATTTAAGTGAGAGATAATCTGTTCCAGTTGACAGATATGTTGTCTCTTGATAAGAACTTATAATAAACATTAGATCTGCTGCACTCTCACATAGACCTTTCCTAAAATTATGTTACTGTTATTTATTTTTCCCGGTCATGTGAAGAGAATCAAATACATTTTGTGCCAGAAAATATTTGTGTTTAGCTTATTTTGAAACAGAAATCAGCTGCCACAACAGGTCTGCACCATCATAATACTAAATCAAATATACATTGCATTTATACTGTCAAATACCATACATATGTGCAACTCTTCAAAGGGAATAAATGAGAAACCTGTAATAAAAACATCTAAATTCCTTCAGATTACCATAAAGGTAGTTCTGTGGTTAGAAACTTCTCCAGTCCTGAGCTGGAGCTATCAGAGTTTTTCATCATGGCAGTTCAGATAAGATTTTGCCCCCTGCATTTGCGATAAATTGATAAATAACTACATAGTTTGTTACAAAATATACTTCAGGTGGCATTTTTTCTCAGAATTATAGGGAAAAAACTCTAAAACATGGTTCATAAATCACAAACATGTAAAGTATAAGTGTTATGAAAATCACTCGGATTGCTGCAGTCATGACAAGGGCTTTGATACAAGAGATAAGATTGCTGCAGTCATGACAATGGCTTTGATACAAGAGATAAGATTGCTGCAGTCAAGACAATGGCTTTGATACAAGAGATACGATTGGTGCAGTTAAGACAATGGCTTTGATACAAGAAATACGATTGGTGCAGTTAAGACAATGGCTTTGATACAAGAGATATGATTGCTTCAGTTAAGGCAATGGCTTGATACAAGAGATATGATTGCTTCAATTAAGACAATGGCTTCGATACAAGAGATACCATTGCTTCAGTTAAGACAATGGCTTTGATACAAGAGATAAGATTGCTTCAGTTAAGACAATGGCTTTGATACAAGAGATACGATTGCTTAATAACAGACAGAGGAAGAGGAGACTGGATATTAATATTATTAGAACTTACTGCAATGCAATGTGATGTATATCATAGCATTGCACAAGGAGACTAATTCATCAAATCCTGCTACAGATGCAATGCTATCAGAAATATGCTTGTTTGCTGAAATTGCCCACAATAAGATAACTTTTCCGTTAAGCAGCCAAGTCCTTACAAAAATATTGTCAAAACAAAAATCAGCCTTGATTACAATCATAGTGTGACGTTATCTCAGAATTCATTTCCATATACATTGTATTGCATATATAATCAAACATGATTTGTGATTTTATTCTATATTTTGTCGTGGATTTTAAGCCATTATATATGAAAATCTCATCTAAGTCTTAAAGTAACCAAGATGCAAAATTTTCCATCATGGCATCCATAACTGAAAAGTTGTCACCATGAAAGCAACAATTTGGACAGTTTTACTTTGGGAAACACATCTGAAATGAATCTGACAAACATAATGTAATCCTGATTATTTTATACCAGCAATGCTCTGGACTGGTCTCATATTAATCCCTCAACTCGATGAAATACATATTTCAAACATCATATAAAGTTCTAGTGTGAGATTAAGCCAAAACTTAATTGATAGGAAAGTTCAGTTAATGTGACCCTTTTGATTGCTCGCAAAATATTGTGCTTTTATACACAAAATACATTTCAAACTTCTTGCTTCTATCGTTGGGATTTAGTTGATATATTTGAGGAACTGATATTGTCAGAAGATGATCTGCTTCTACAATGATTTAAACCTTGGACCACAGGTTTACTTGTCATGCCCTCAACAGATTAAGCTGAAGTCATTTTCCCTTTGATCAACCAGCATATTGTGACTAGTATTTTACCAGGGTTACGTACTACCCCTTCAGAAAATAACTCGGCCTGAAGTTTCTAGAGGTTACAGCAATGCCTGTGAAAGTAACACTAAGTATATATTCCAGAGCGCCTGGATTCAAACACAGAACCTCCTTCTTACCAGTCTTATAATCAACCAATCAAGCTAAAGAGAAATTCTTTCTTGTCAAGTATTTTACCATGGTTACACATGTGTACAAGTGTTGGGATTGTCAGCTTGAAATTCAAGATGGCTGTATGTTGACCATCATTTCACCCCTTACATGTCAGCAAGACAGTTCAGAAATGACCCTGAAATTACTGAGTTAGTGCTAATATATTTGAAGCATTGTCAACATCCAAAAGATTAACCTCTTAAAAATACAGCCAGATTTTGTTTAGACCTGCCAAGAATGTGACAATAAAATTGTTTCTTTAAGAATATCCTGTAATATATGAAAACAATAACACATGACATGTGGGTAAAGATCAGGGTTTTATTTCATTTGGAATACACCATGATACGTAATGAAATCTAAAAGAGTTACTACCTAAAGGCTTCAAATGATTATTATTGTGATATGTGTACTGACTACAGTGATGTTGTTATAAAGGACTTGTTGTCACAGAAGAAAAACGGTGCTCCAAATACAAAGTGTATATCGTGAAATCCCATTAGAGTGAATCTGAATTTGATCAAGCAATTTGAGATTAACTTGTGAGAGTATTGATAAATGAGTTGGAGAAGAACATGCTAATACTATTTGGAAGATGGCTTGATTAGCTCAGAAAGATATTTGTAGTTTTTGATGTAAACAGTTTGTATGTATTGACAGGCATTTTCATTATACACACATACATTTGTAACTGTTACCATCTGATCCATTTCATGAAGAAAAAAGATGCTAATTGATATTTTATTGAAAGATAACTTATGATAAAAAGCTGAAGTTTGTTGACAACTTAAATATATACCACATCATACAGGGAAAAAGGAACAGGGAAAATGTCTTTCTTTTTTTCATGACAATCCTGTCAACCTGACAAAATCAAGTGAGTATGTGATTCAGGTCCTGCTGTGATAATCCAGTCAACCTGACAAAATAAATTAAGGTGGTGATTCATGTCCTGCTGTGACAAGAACCTGTGAGAGACTTTCTTGTTGCTTTCTCGACAATGTCAGTAATGTTATCATCAACATTTCCCTTAAAGTGTAATGTTTTTCTGTTGCTCAGAACTTATATAGTTAAGTCATATATTGGATGCTTCCACAGACCCATGATTTACACATTATCTAAAAATATTTATAGTCGTTGGACATTTTTATGTACCTGCAGTGTGTTAGGAATTTTTCAGTTTGAAGATATTGTATTGTGAATATAATTGATTCAGTTATGTATTTGACACAATTACAGATACATTAAGTGGTAAGGCAGTGTGTCAGTGTCCAATTGTGATTTATTAAAATCACCTAAATCTCTGAGCGTCTTGCGCATTGCATGTTTTGGTTCCACAATTAACATAATAAAGAATCACAAAGTTGCATATTCTATATGAAGATATCTTATATACCCGGTACATGTATGAGGATAACCAGAGATTTTATGAGGAGGGAATTATGATGTTAGGTAATTGAATTCTACAATAACATGGCTGAAAACTGTTCCATTTAGTTAATGGTACTTGAATATATCATGATGTCTCTAGTTCTGTACCTAAGTTACAACAATAATATGTGTCATATTAATTAACAGGGTTCAAGTTAACCTGGCCTGTGACATTGTAGACATGCATGTTGTTTCCTTAAAGATAATCAATGCGGAAGTTTGCATCCA